CCTTCGCCTTCCGACGTTGAGCATCCATCGTCAAGAACTGCCATAATCTTTTCCACACAAGATGATTTCAACTTTCTCTTCTCTTGATCGACGCTCACATAGGGAATGTAGTCTTTGACGGTCATCTCGATGATGTCACCATTGGGATCTAACATGAATGGAGTTCTTCCAGTCGGCCATACAAATGAGTAACCAAGATCAACGCATCGCTTTCCCATGGAGAGCACGGAAGGTGTGTCCTCCAGGATGTGAGCTTCTGCTGGTTCACTGAATGCCTCGAACTTGATGCTTGAACGTTTGGTCGAACATGTCACCCCATTTGCTGTATGGAAGTTGATGACCTTGTCATCATATGTTGGGAGATCCATCCTACTTATTCGTATGGATGAAATGAGATCATGACCACTTCCAGAATCCAATATGAATCTCTTGTCTCTCTCCTCAACAGGAACAGTGATACACATTGTGTTGCCCCTTTTACCATATCGACCTTCGATATGCTGAACATAGTTCTCCACAAAAACTTCCCTGGACACCTCACCGTCCTCGATGTCGAGTCTGATCAGAATGTCCATGCTAGGGCCGACGATGACCAGGACTTCATCAATGTCACTGTGTTCACCCTTCTCATCGATCAGAATAGCCATTGCTTTCCCTCGGCTCGACGCTAACCTGCATGAATAAGACCATTGTTCATCTTTCCTCATCTGATCAGTGGGCTTACCAACTTTACCATGACCTTTGGAGATTGTTTGGGACTTCCGGCTGCACTTCACGAAGTCCTTCTTTACGTAAGTTTGAACGTGAGTCTTAGACTCATCAAATCTGACCTTCTTCTTGACCACGTTCGATGCAACCTTATGGAACGTCTCTTCATCATCACTCCAATCATGGATAAGTGCAGGAGTAGCCTTTGAGCCTGATGCTTCAGTGTTCGGAGCAGTATTGAATAGATGAGGATCGTGGCGTTTGTTGCATTTGTCTCCATACCGACACTTGCCCTTAGCCCAATGCCAGCATGGTTCGTCAACCTTCTTGGTCTTGTTTGCCGGAGATTGACTTCTTGGAGTTCCTGGCTTCCGACCATTCCCTTTTGCGTTCTTGTTCGCATCGAACACCTTTTGATCATGACTATATTCACAATCTTTGCCTTTCCTGCATGATTTCTTGATGAAATGGAAATGGCATGGGATCTTCTTCTTGGATCTAGGGCTGGTACTTCGGCTGTTTGCTCGATCCTTTCCCTTGACCTTTCCCTTTTCCTTTTGCATGCTGTTTAGGCTGAGGTGATGGTAGAACTGGAGCTGCATCGGCCTTGGCCTTCGCCTTGGGTGCTGCCTTCTCCTTGGGAGTAGCTTTAGGCTTCGCTTTTGGATTTGCATCCGGTGCAGCAGCAGTTGGATTTGGGGCAGGAGATGTAGGTTTGCCGCCACCTGCAAAGTCTCTTGCATACTTCTCTCTAGCGGCCACATGCTTGTCCTCTCTGATTCTGGAGATGTGTCTTTCGATGACATCCAATAGATAGCGATAGTTTCGTCTTTGGTCTCCTTCAATCCATGACTCGTACTGCTTGATGTCAAACATCATAAGACTCGAATTTCGAATCTTCTTGTATAGAGCGTCACGAAGCCAATCATCAGGAGGTACATCATCCGGCATCATGTTCGACACCATCTCCATCCATTTCTCATAGAACACTTCCAGGTTTGAGTCACCGAGATATTTCATCGATACGATGTGCTCCATGGTGAAGGCTGTCTCTCGTTGACCTGGGGTTCTGAAGTGCTCCAGGATCATAGCCAAGATTTCCCGTCCCATGACATAGGTTCCTTTTCGACTATGACTTTGTGTTCTCAATCTCAATTTGACCGCTACATGACGAGCAACATCGCCGGCTTGGGCTATCACGTTTGACAATGCAATTGACAACTTGGCGTCGATGGACTGATACCGTTGCCCTCCACTGTCATTTAATAGCTCGATGTCAGGATTTGGTCGAATAGCCGGCTGTAGCCATGCCTCCCATGCGGCTTTGTCCCCATCATTTGCAGAAAGAACAACACTCTTGATAAGATCTGATTGCCAAACCCCAAGATTCTGTTGCTTCGGCCATGGGCTAACATAGACTTTGTCAGCCTCCCGTCTTGACATTCTCGGCACTTCTTCTGCAGTGTAAGCCGCTGTGGAGACATCATCTGCTGAATCGCGTTGTGATCCTCGAACTGAAGGCAAACCTGGAGGTTCAGGAGGTGGTCCTGGACCGTTAGGCCCGAAAGGATCAGGAGGTCCATCAGGGTCAGGCGGACCGCCCCATCCACTCGGTGGCTTGTAGTAGTCCCTCTCAGTTCCATCAGCGATCTTGTTGTCCACCTCTTTCAGCAGATCAGTGATTCTTTTGCTTGATTGAGAAGGTTGTCGTTGAGAAGGTACAGCATGTTCACGATAGGAATGAGCCATATTTGTTTCATAGTTCAACTCCTTGTCGATCTGCGAAACCCAAGATTTCAGAATAGCGTTTTCACAGTTAGCCTCACTCACGTCATTCTCCAGTTTGTCGATGACTAGTCTTGATGCGAGATCGTAGTTGGGAATGCCTGCCGAATAGGGAAGTGTGTCAGGGCTGACCCTAGATATAGATGTTTCAGAATCCTTGAGACTCTTTCTCAGTTCATCTAAGTGACGTTTCATGTCAACAATCTCAGAATTCTTGATGCCGATCTTTTCATCCCTATCCTGGATTTCCCCCATGAACATGCATGATCTCTCATACTGTTGAACACCACTAGCCAACTTCATTTTGCGCTCACTCTCTAGTTCAGATTTTAGAGTTCGGACCTCAGCATTGGTGAGGGACGACGCCCCTACATCCGCAACTTCAGCCAATCTCTCTTTTAACAATATGTTCTCTTGTAAACATTCATGAACTTCATGATCTAGGTCCTGAACCCTGATTTGAGCGATTTTGGCTTGATTACGTAGATCTTCAACAAGCATCTCATCGGGGCCACGACCGTCGGTCGTAGTACCCTGAGTCAACGATCTTCGCAACTTCGTGTTCTGCGACTTGATCTCATCCTTTAATTCGCAGTTCATTTCCTGCTCGTTGGCATAGAGCTCTTCATAGTGCTCTGCCCTTGCGATCGAGTTTGCACTAGCCTGTGATTCAAGCCTCAGGTGTGATATTGCTTCGGCCTCTTGGTTCCTGTATGATGCAATTCTTCTGACGGTATCGTGTTCAGTGTTTCGATGCTTCAGATCACTTTCCAATTTGGCCTGATTTGCCTCGAAAACCTTCTTCCTAGATTCTCTAGTGATCTCGTCAATACTGCTTTCATACAGCTCGGCCTGTTTACGAGACTGAACCAAGGCTTCACTCAATAGCTGATTCCGTTCAGATAATTCATGAACTGCAATTGATTGTTGTTGGCTAATCACTTCGAGTTGGTTGCTAGAGAAGGATGCCATTTCGGATCGATTACGATATTCCATGATTGAGTTCTGGAAATCTGTCTGCATTTCTTGACCTTCATTGTACAGTCGATTGGCAATATCGGTGGTTAAGACATTGGTTTGATGAAGTTGTTGCAGTCTTGCCTCCGTATTACCCAATAGTCCTTGAAGGTGATGTACTTCATCCTCGTACTCCTCCCGGATCTCCATACCACGTTGATGGATCCGTCGTGCACCATGTTCCATTAGGGCACCTCGGCGTTCAAGGTCTTGGATGCGTATTGTTGCACCTTCGTCTTCCTGAGATGCTACCATTAGTTCTGCTTGATATTCTGCAACCTCATTTGCGGAACATGACAATCTATGATTGAGTGCATTGACCTCATCAAATACATTTTGGTTGTGTTCCTGAAGATACTCAGTGAATCTGATCTCGATGTCATGAATCAGCTGATCTCTAGATGCAGCGTATGCTTCCATGTGGTTCAACTGATTACGTAGGGATTGACATTGTGCCCGTAGTTCTTCTATCATGGCAATAGGTTCACTAGCCACAGAAGTATCCGTTGATCTCCTCTTAACACGACTATCCCCGGTCCTCTCACCAATTCGGTCGGTCACGGCCCTGGTGGATCTGTCCCTTGGAGTAGTTCGTCCTCGAGATGGTCGATGCCCTTGGCGGACAACATCACTTCGAGCACTGTTTCGAGAAGATCTTGGTGTACTTTGAGTGGATATCCTTCGTCTGTTTGACGTGACTTGCCATCCGGACTGTGTAGTTCGGGTAGAGCGTATCCCACCACTGTCTGCCGTGTCACCAGGGGAAGATTGATTGACCTCCTCGACCGGCATGGCAGTGTTCTCATTGAAGGTAAACTGCGTGGTGCGCGAATCTCCGCTGCCGCCTTGCATCTTTGCGATGATGAGCTGATTGGTCCTTTGCGTCCTCAATCAATTGCTCAAAAGGCCCGGCTGCCAGCACGCAGGTACCACTCTCCCGGCGGGAGAAGTGAGCCCTACGGCTGATAACCTGTGAGCAAATGAATCCTTGTCCTGGATGTTATCTCAGTCTGGTAGTACCCTTGTTACTGGTAGCCAATGAATGCCATGCGGAGTCACGCGACGCATCCCTTTTCTCCATACGCTTGAGCCAATGTTTGGCGGTCACAGCATGTTGTTTTAACAGTGCATGCTGTACATGTTGTGTCATCTCGTTCCCTTTAACATTTTACATCGTTATAGTGGAACTAGTATTGCTAGCCTTTACCATTCGGCACCAGGATTCGGACTGCGGTGATCAAACTTGGCGTGCTGGAAATCTACCATTTCGTTCGATGATTTTCCCAGCGAATTTAATCTCCATTCAATTTACATGGGATTTCATGATTTTTCATTGCCAGGTTTGATTACGAGGGTTTTTGTTTCCCATTAAATCCCCATTATATATATATAAACAATTATAAACTTATATAATGGCAAAGATTGCCGGAGGGTATTAACAATCCTATTTCTATAAAAACAGCGGCCACAAGAACACCGTCCGGCCCTGCGCCTGCTGTCTGCTCTGCCGCCATTTAAACATTTCGTCTTCCCACTGTCGTCGACAGCGGTGCCCACGCCAATTTGCCTCATGCTGAGTCAAGATTCTTCCAAAACCGCAAAACGAAGGAAAGCGGCCTAGATGTTGCCAGAATTAGCTAAATGGTACAATTGCAAATATCCCAATACATTTAAGGAGTTATGACCCACTTACAAACCATCAGCTAATTCTAGCAACATCTATGTGCAAAAACATCCCTTCGCTAATCTATGAACATATATTGAAATTCAAAGAGAAGCTGCGGAAGCGATCAGTCTTCGCATGCTATACATCCCTTCAAAACCCATTCCTTGCCTTTGTTGTCGCTTATTCGCTTATTAATGCACCGGGTTTGTCTGAAAGGGTATACCGAAATCTAGTGAAGTTGATGTTCCGAATTCGGTCATTTTGGGGATCCCATTTCTAGACACCCATCAGATTGTCTGTAATATATCCCATTGTTTCCTGGTTTCTACCTCCATGTGTCCGTTGTATCCCTACTATGGCAAGTCCATCTATATCGTACATAATTGGTTAGTTATAGTCCGATCATTGCTGGTTCTACCACAATTTCCCCATGATGGCTGGTTATATTGCTGGTTATATCTTATACATATAGTTTTGGTTATAAATCCCGATCATACATAAACCTACTATTTGGGGATGGTTTCTACCACCCATTTTATGGAAATAGTGGGATAGTTTACTATTGGGTGGACCACATGATGCCTTTATTATGCATATGAAGTCATGCTATTTTTTTGATCCCATTGATAGTACTAAACCTGGTGATAGTGTATGGTACCATAACAACCCCATGAATAACAATAATATCCCAGTATTATTAACAATTATCCAAAAAAGCATTAATAGGTTAGCATCCCCATCAAATAACATATCTTCAATGAATATTCCCATATCCCCAATATACCCCAATATATCCCATTGATTCCCACCATGGTTGACCTTCCAAAAACCACGTCCGTTCGCTGCCTGGATGGTCCGTGCTTTGCACCAGCGACAGCGTTCCGCTTCTCGCAGCACGCAGCAGGCCAAGTAGCGCAAGCCACAACGCTGGATCTGACGAATGGCGCGATGTTTGCCCGGGCTCAGCAATAACCTGGGTGACCGGTGGAATGGTGCTTAAGATTTCCCATATCATTGGTTTGAGGGAAAATTTACAGGAAACCCCCATATTTAATGGGAAATCTATGGTTTCCTGTCGATTGTCCCTTAAACCAATCCATTGACCATAGTGTCCCCAATATCTCCTAATCGATTCTGGACAAAAAACATTGAAAAATGGATAATATGAACATCAATGTTTTCACACTTGGATGTTGCCAGAATTAGCTACTGGCGGTTTGTAAACGGGGTATAACCCCTTATATCTGGTATGTATTGGGATATACCCAATCAACTGGAATGTACTGGGATGCACTCCAGTTACCACTCAGTTCGTTCTGGCAACATCTAAGTGGCCGCAGATGTTTTTTAGCGAACTCTGCTAGACTGTGATTGCCCTCTGGTAAATGAACATAGCTATGAAAACATGAAAAAATCACCACTTTGAACAGGTAAAGCATCACAAATCATTTACAAATGGGTCATTTTCCTTCTCTATGTTCAATAACCAGATGGTAATTGTTGAGGGAATAGCATTTTAGATTGGGGTTCTTTTGTTTGAGTGTGGTGCCACCTTGAATTGGGATTCAGAAGCCTTGCTTACTTGGTACCGCGGGGCCGCGGGGACCCCTCCGAATAATAATTCACCTGCTGCTCCAAGGAAACTTCATTCGCTGCTTACTACTTAGACATTTTTTCGTAAATATAGGCCACAAATCCACAATAAAGGGCAAGATGGGCAATCCCCGGGCAAAAAATGAAGGGAGCCAAAAAGGTTGGCCTTGCAAAATCCCCGCCCCTTTTAGATGTTCATAGATGTTCATTCGAGACTGTCCTGGATCGAAGATTCTTCTCTGGTAAACCCAGCATCAATTATGTACGTACAAGAAACATCAAGAAACCATACCCGGGAAAAGTGTTCAATATATCTTGGTCATCTTTGAATGTTAAGCATTCTGGGGGGCACCCCAACGACCTGACCCATCTCCAGCTAAACCCAACAATGAGACCCTGCACCAAATACTGCACAACAAATATCTATCAATGGATTGAAGGGAGGAATTACAGGAAACCATGCATTTTCCTCCAAATATAAGTGTTTCCGTGTTTCCTGCAAACAAAAACCTTCTAGCTAGGGAGTTTCTTGAAAATGTTCGTGCCCACATTAATTATGATGCTGCGAAAATCGAATAGATCAGCGGATTACAATGCTAATCCTTCCCGGAGTACTGCCGGAGTACCTCAAAATCAAATGGTTTAAATGATAATTTTTCCCGCTAAAGATGCAAATCTGGGGCATCCACAATTGTTGGACACACCCAAATATTATGCTGTTGGTTATTTTGTATGATATCACATGTATGTTCCCAGGAATGAATGGTTTTATACCCCCCCGTGGTGTTGCTTCACCCATCTCCGAACCATTTACTGTATATACCGATATAAATAATGAGTTAAACATCCCAAATATCCCACTATGATTGTTTTTATCATCCATTGGAACCACCAAGCAGTTTTATTGGTTAGAAAAACCAATCATATCATGTCACATCCCCTCATTTTCTTTCTTGGTAAAACATCCCAAAGGGGGCACTTTCTTGGATGTGCTTAAGATCTTAAGGAACCTCCCAAAAATCCGCCCGCGCCGAAGGTGCGGAGGTAGACTTTGGCTGGGGGGGGGGTGGGCCCTTTATTGCTCTAGAATCCTGTGTTTTTCCACGTTTTAAAGGTGCCTAAAATCCGCGAAGTAGCCAACCTTGGGCTCAACAATGGCTCAACAATGGCTTAACATGGCCCAACATGCCTCACCATAAGCCCTACATGGGCGCAACATAGGCCCAACATGGCTCAACATAGAGCCAACAATACTCCCAACATGAGCCCTACGAGTACAAAGGCCCAACATAGAACATATATGGATTCATTGGAATTCGAGAGCTAACACTCCGGTGCGGTCGTCGCGAAGCGAGAAGCATCTTCTCCATCTCCCATTTAAGAATGGTATAGATAGATATTTATACCCATGATATACCCATGATATCCCATTTGGAAACCTCCATCATCTCCATCTCCGTCCAAGCCACAGGCCGTCCCTCCTGGCACGTCTCCGCGCCAGCTCCCGTCGCGCCGCCCGTCCCCGCTGCGCGGTCTGCAGCATCAGCGCGGCGGCCTGGCGCTGCAGCGTCTGCTCTGAGGCCAGGGTGCAGAGCAGCAGGCGGCACTGGTGGCTGCGGAAAGCGCCTGGCGATTCGCCACGCCATGGGTGGATCAAATGAGTGGATTTCATGGGATTTTATGGTGTTTTAAAGGGACTTCATGAGATTTTTGCTCGGTTTTGATTGTGTTTTAATGGGATTAGATGGCTAAGTTGGTGAACATAACTCTAATAACTAAATAGGTCGAACTAGTTATACAATGGGGGCTATAAACCAACAAACACAACACAGCTGGGGGGCACCACCCTGCAATTTATGGTTACGCAGACGACAACCCCAACTGACAATGGTTAGTGCGGTTAGTGGATGATCAATCAACTGATCAAGGAAACTGTTAATTTGATTGGTTTGGAGGAAAGTCAAACATGGTTAAAATACCTCAAAAACATCAACGGTTATCCTTCCACAACAGGAATCAATGGTGCTTGATGAAGAATGTCAGGGTGGGTCCTTCAACTTCAGTTGTTTGGGGGGGTTGCCCAAAATATGTGGAGGTTTGACCACATTTTATATGAATATTAGGTGTTAAGCATGGAATGGGCAAGATGCGCCTGAGGAAATCACATTTGTTTCTTCATTTAATGCCGACTTCCTAGCTGTTTACGTTGTTCATCTGTGTGAAGATATGGGAATAGGAAAAAAACTACCCTGGTCAACACCGAAATCTGTTCATTCCGCTATTCGAATGGTACCATTCCATAGGTATTGATCCATATCCGGCCATTGAGCACGGGCCTGAAGTTGGGTACCCTCTTATGAACAAACATAGCAGATCGGAACATGTTCCATGAACGTCATGAGGTACCCTCAGGTAAATCATGCACATAACTAGGGACAATTCCATTGTGAATCGGCAAATCATCTGGGAAAAAATAGCCCTATGTTAGTTTACCAAATGCTTTAAACATCTTTAAACCATATTAAACCATCCCAAAGTGGGGTTTATGACGTAGGCCCCATTTTTTTTTGAGATGTGAAATGACCTCCAGTCATGGTTGGGGGAGATGTAAAAGTATGATTTTCAGGGGAAAATATGAGGTTTACAAGTCGACGAGGTTCACAAGGCCCTGATTCCAGTTTCTGAAAATGGTGGATTTCTACCAGAAAACTTGGGATACCCTGTTTTCAGAGAGACCCACATGTCCAAACATGTACAAACCAATATGTAAGCAGCCGCGGGACTTCATCATGTGCCAAGGTCAAATTGAAAAAGACATCAATAGTTGAACGCTCTAAACTCTTGAATCGATTATATATACAATTATAGCATATTAATTCATATTAATTGATACTACTTCATTTTAATTCATATTATATAATTCATTTTTATTTATATTATTTCATATTAATTCATATTATTTCATATTAATTCATGTTGCATTTTGTTGGTTAAATCAATAAAACCTTGTTTCGTCATGTTTACATCACCATATCTTTCGCATTTCTTGTGACACCAAACAGCCAACTCCATCTCGGCATCTCACCTTGCACCATTTGAACGCTCCGGCACAAGGCAGCAAAAGCAAGCACATCCATTTGCACCTGCTGCGGATCCATTTGTATATGTGAATCTTATGGCAGCTGCAGCACTGCACCACTGTATCTGATGGAAGAGTGATCGGAGAAGGTTAACCAATTATCAGATCACCCATTCTCTTATTTCACTCACTTCCTAACCAAATTAAAAATTGGCTGCCACTGCCTACTACGTTGCGGTTTAAAGTTTCAACTCTTCTCTCTGAGAAAATGAATAACAATGTCCAACCAAGAAATCAATGCTGTTCAATGGCCCCACCTTCCCCCAAATCAGCGGCTTTACCCTCCAAACACTTCTGGAAGATCCCGTTGGGAAAAAAAACTCCCAAAAGAGATCCCATCTCTCCCCAAAATTCTTTGCATATAGTCCCCATGTTTGTCGCTTACCCTGCAGTATACTAACATAGCTATGGAAAATGGCTCAGTTATGGACAATTTCCCTATTAAAATGGAGATATTCGGTAGTTATGTAGCAATGACATCTACCCAAGTCTTGAGCATGTCACATACTGAACAAAAAAATGTCAGATATATTTCCCAAGTGAAGTGGATGCACAAAAAATATCAAGGTGTCTCAAAGAGACTTTGCCCATTCTCCAACTTCCAGCGAACCTTTCACCGAACCTTTGCTCGTTCAGGGATTTCCCAGCCAGGTTGGACGAGCCATGGAAGCGATAGTTGGACCAATCTTTAAGTATTCCATTCATATTCCATTCATATACCCATTTTGTCCCCATTATCCCCATCAAAAAATCCTGCCATTTTAACTCCCCATTCTCAGATTCTCCACCTGGAAGCGTTGCATCACAGCGACAATGCTCTGGGCTGCTTGCTGTCGCTCTGCTGCGGCCTGCACGGTGGCACGGCATTTCTATAGGATTCGAAGGGGGTCCCATTCTAGGGATAAATATATAGATTATAGATGATAATAGGGATAATAGGGATTATATAGCCCCTCAGAATCTTCGAAATATTGGGATTTCCTGTAGATGGGTGTCTTAAACCAATCTAGGATGATTTGTTTGAATTCTAAATATGTATATATTGTATTATATATGTGTATTCATGATCATTCATTATGGACATCATGCCATATACATTCTGGTTTTGGGAGGTTGAAGGAATCTCGGCCCTTTCCAAATGCAGTCCATTCCGCAGCAGTTAAGCGCAAGCGTTACTAGAAGGGGGGGTTGGATGGATGACAACTTCTCTGGACTGATGACAACTCCTATGAAACTCCTATGAAACTCCTATGTTGATAAAACAGGATCAAAGCAAAGTTGATATGTTGGTGCAACCTTGTAGGGATTGAAATATAGACTATACTCATATGATCCAATCTATGCACGCACACACACATATATATATACACATATATATATACACATACATACATACATACATACATATGTATGCAAACGGTGTGTAAATGTCTCTGTCAATGTGACTACGTAAATATAATTATGTATATATATATATATATTCCTATATGCATGAGATATTCATATCACTATCACAAACAAAGGATAGTATGATATAGTATGTGCGCTTGACGTATTTGTACACTGGCTTCAGATGATTGTCAATGATGATCGACGTGTTCAGTGATGGTGATGATCATTGGACTTGGGTGGAACTGAGCGCCGAAACAACCAGTGCGATATCAAAATTAAACATATAGGAGTATGCTCAAATGGCTCAAATGGATCAAATTGCTCAAATGGACCATTTGCAGGATTTGAGGCGCCTCAATTTTGGAAATACCCATATCCTGTTACTGGAAATGGTGATATAGGTGATATAGTTATATCTTCCTACTATTGCCCACTTGCTAGACTATCTCCTGCCTCCCAGCGCAAAAGTTGCAGGCCCTCCTGAGAGCGAGTGCATGGTTTACTGCAGTATATCCATATATCTAACTCCATATATAACTCCATGATGGCCATATCCAGCAGAAAAACTCACCATAACTCACCGAACTCACCCCTTGATCACCTCAAATCATCCCGGTGTTTTTCGGTGTCAAGTGGCTGCCATGGCCTGATTCCCCCCAGACATGGATATAGGCTATGATCCCATCCCAAAAAAAAACAATGTCCCGAAGATCCAACAGGGGAAGGGACTACAATCCAACAACTATTATCCAATGTCTATCATTATTATCCAACCAACCAACACCTTTTTCCTCAACACAGCATCCACACAGCATCCAGTTGAAACAGGATGTACTAATTGTTGGATTGTATAACCTTGTTGGCTAGTTATATCCCATCGAATCTCCATTTGTTGATGGTTTTTCGATCCACCATCAACCACCAGAAGAATCAAACGGTTAGAAAATTTGGGGAAGGGATTACAATCCAACCAGCAAATTAGAATCCAACAAGCAGAAACCAGAGTTTAAACACAGTGGGCCAGTGAAATCCAGTTATCCCCAGTTGAATCCAGTTGAAAACGGTGGTAAACATCCCATGATTTATAGGGTTTCAACCATCCAACCTGGTGCAATGGTTATTACAATGGTTATAATCCAGCACAGCTTATTCCAGCTCTATAAGTGTAATGGTGAAAAAATCGCGGATTTTTAGCTTTACCTATAGTGAGGTGGAGCAACCACATGATAATCTACCACTGAATCTTACAGATTCAACTTGTTCCGTGATGGTTATAGTTCCAACATGTTCCAACTATTATAATCCAACAATTGTTATTACAATGGTTGTAATGATAAGATCCATTGTAATAATGACAGAGATCCCCTTTGTGACCATTAAAACAAAAACTATTGTGATCCAACTGTTATAATCCAACCATTGGTCATAATCATAATGTTACCAATCATATAACATCTATTACCATTGATTATAACCAATAATTGGATCATAATTCATAATAGTTACTATATCATTACATATAATAGTTGGATAATACTTCATGGATAATATAGCTCTAGCAACCAATAGTTACTATAATAATAGGTCTAGTTGGATAATATATGATCATTGAATCATATTATTACCATTAGGGATCCCCTTTGAGATCCTGGATCAACGATGTCGAGATATGCCGAGCCTTGGCCAGATAGCCTCGAAGCACACTCTGCACCTGGGGAGGAGCGTGTCAAATCTCGGATTTGACCTGTTCAACCCTCATGTTGCTGGATAATTCATGACAATTCGATAACTCCCAATTTTCAGTTGAAGCCTTAATTTTTCTAAATCCAAACTTGGTGCGTAAAACTCCTGCCGGTTGAGCCATAAAACTTCATAATTCTGGGAACATCCGAAGTTCTACGGATTCTACGGGTCTTCCCCATGGTGAAAAATCCCCAATTTTCCCATCCCGCCGCCGCTGCAGCTTGGCTCGGCCCCTTGGCCCCTTGGGGGTCCGCGCCAGGCAGACGGCGCCCGCACGGCGATCCGGCGACAAAGGTGCCAGCGGCGGCTTGGAAAGCTCCTTGGAACTACCTCGGGCGATGAGATTTTTTGGAGATATAGGTAATGTAGGCAATGTATGGATAGTGCCAACTGAAGTTGGAATTTGGCATGATATGAATATATGTTGTTTCATCACCTTCAACATATTCACGGTTTTACAACATTGTTAATAGACATGATATGAAATGATAATGAGTATTATTTCTTGCGATGTAAGCTGCAAACACCTTTCAACATGTTGCAACTCCAGTGCTTGTGTGGCTTGCAAGCTGCCACTGGGGTGACTACTAACATTCCTTTCTTGAAAGTGAGGAAAGTCCTGTTGATAAAACGTCGGTCTCCTTCGTACGTGACATTCCTGGAAGTAGGAATCTCAAATAATCTTAATGTCACAGAACATGCACACTGATGCACACGTTTCAAGCGCAAAAAAAGAAAACGTGCGCAGGGATGTGCAGGGACCCTGCTGATCAGTTCCATTTTCTGAGCTCCTCACCACGTGATTCCTGCGCGGTAGGACTATTTTTTGGATGGTTAGAGGGGCAAGATCATTGTCCGAATATTATTTTTGTTAAATATATATATATATTAAATATTACTGTATATAGTATAACATAGTATAACTGTTCTGCCCTTGTTCTATCTGCCGCAGGATGGTTATGTAGGATGTTCTTCTGCGGTGCTCAGATGAGTTGCAAAAGAAAATAAGAACAGTTGGGTTAAAGAGCTAGACCTATGGATACCGCCATGGTAGGAAAAAAAGGAACCTGCTTCATGGGACAAATTGAGATGATAATTTCTATAGCCACCCAGCAAAAGATAGAACAGTAATTTACTACAGTGTTTATGGAGTTGCTTATAGTATTTACCATAAATATACTAAGTTACAAAACACTTAGTAGGATATCACTTTTGGATTTTCTGGGCAAGATAGCTCAATCTGGAATTTGCAAAAGGTTGCCATGCTACTCTGGGAGCCTCTTTTGGGGATGAACGTCGATGTTGGACAAACCAAAAGCCATGGTTCGAAAGGCCACTCCACAAATCCCATGCCAATTTGAAAAACATATATAATTGATTATAATTGTCCTTGAGAAATCTGTCTGTACATAATTGTCATATTGTCCATTTTCCCATATTTTCTCCCATGGCCATGAATTGGGAGCCGCCGAAAATCGTCTGACTCCTTGGGATGTGACACAGTACGGAAGCGACGATACGCTGCCTGACACAGCTGGTTGTGCACAGCAAATATTCCCATCATTGGAACATGGGAATGTACCCTCTGGTAAACATACAAAGAGCTATTGAACATGGTCATTTACATTTGATTTACATATTAAACATTGCGATTTTCCATAGTTATGTTAGTTTACCAGAGGGTAATAACTTACCGAATTCAGCAGATTCGAATTCCCAAAGTTGGAAAAGTAAACCCTCCGGTAAATCAAACGTGGAACCTGCTGGAAAATCCTCCATTTTAGTTCGATGATGTCCATTGAGATTTTTGTTCCATTGCGGGTTTCCCATCCATGTTGAGGTCGGCCAATAAGGGAGGTTTCCTGGGGGTACCCCAATAGCTGGATGGTTCATTTCATGGAAAATCCTATGAAAATCTTATGAAAATAGATGATTTAGGGTACCCCCAAAAATAATGTGGGGAAAAGCGTCGATGATCTTTCCAGACCTCAGTGAGGTCCTACAGGTTCTTTTTACCCATGCTGGGGCGGGGAATTTTCAAGAGGCTCGGGGAGAGACGCTATTCTATTTTTTTCTTAGATGATTACTCGCCAAGGTCCCATGTACTACAGTCCTACTGCAGGGTATCCCAATCATAGATGATAAAATATGATACATATTCGTGATACATATTCGTGATATTTCGTGATTATACTACTAGACCATGGGATATAATAGCTACCCTCCAACATGGCAATTGGACATCCCCCCAGAAAATAAAGGTTTCTGGCTGGGAAAATCATCCATAAATGACGGACAAGCCATGTTTGATTACCAAATGGTAATACCTTCTGGTACTTCAACATAGCTATGGCTATGGAAAATCACCATGTTTCACAGGTAATTCATCATGTTTATTCATGTTTATCATCTATAGATGGGCCATGGCTTCCATATGTTGAACAACCAGAGGGTAAATCCCATTAGATAATACTAAATCCCATTGAATCCCATTAAATCACCATTAAATTACCATTAAATCACCATTAAATCATATTAAATCCCATGAATATCTCATGAATATCCCATCTTTTCCCACCTCTGGCCCTGTTTTTTTCGCGCCTGAATCTGCCTTGCAGCCCTCTCGCGCCTGGCCTGGCAAGATGGCAACTTCAAAATCCCCGAAGTCAATGGAGGTTTATAGCTGGGGGGAAATGTCCGTAAATGGGGATATATATATATATATTATCTGTATATTACTGTATTTATAGCTGGGGAAAAATGTGGGGATATTTTTACGATGTTTGATTCCGAGAGGGTGAGGTAGATCCTTTTTTTCATCATAACCCACTTTTTAGCTAACTGCTTTGTCTAAGCGGTTAGGCAGTGGGGTAGATCATATCCCGTTCGTCAGTGTTGGTACTCAAACAGCAACTGATGAATGGGATATGATATAACTACATATATATAAAATATAACTGGTATAACGCACAATAATATGTTATGGCATAACCAACATGAACCAAAAACATAACAGTGGAGACTGTTTACCAACAATCTGAGGGGATTTCCGTCGAGGTGGGGACCCGGAGCTAGGACAGTTTGGATGTTGGATGTATCTATATAGGAGGCCCTGTTCGTATTATTAGGTGTATTTAGAAGATGTACTTTTCTATCTGTTTGAACACCCAATCTTCAAGAAAAAAATGTAATTAGGTACACACACGCCTCGTCAACTGCTGGTGGCCCTCGCACTTACGGGTAGTGCAAAGCTCATCATTACATCATCTGGTAGTTACAACCAATCATAGCTTATCAGTTCTAGGACCCCAGCAATGCCTCATGCGCCACCTAAACCAATTGGATAATTCATATCAAAGAAAACTAAACTTGATTCGTTGATATTTGCTGGGCCATCAATAAATCATCATCCAGACTAATTAGACATGTTGTGTGAGTTCGGTTCCGCCGCTTTCAATCATCGTTTGATGATTTACCCTTGATACACCTTGATACTACCCATCATCTATGAGATCCTTGGCACTACACCGCCTGGCCAACTAACGGCCGAAACCCACATGAAAATGGGGCCATGGAACCGATAAGGAAAACACATCTTCCAAAGCCCATCGCGGGTTCAATGCAATGTGTTGGTCTTCAGGGGTAATCTCCCATGTTTGTTGCTGTTCATATCTCATTTTTTTGCGCCGCCGGCGGCTCTCAGGGACGCAGTCAGCGGGGGGTCCAAGCAATGGAAGCTGCCGAAACCATCGGAATTGGGGGTTTGATGGTGGTCTCAATTCCCTGCTTGGGTTGCAACATTTACGGTTGGAACATGTTGGAACCATGGGATTTACGCCAAAACGATCCAAAACGGTGGTTCCTGGAAAGGTTCCAAAATCAGTCAGAACTGGGGTATCCTTTCGTGATGTAATCGGCAGATAACGCGACAATCAGAAACAACAATTGGCTTGGCATGGCACTAGGGTATGAGAACAGCCAAAATCTAGGTGGGGATATATAATTGATATGAAAAAGAGATATCATGGGGAAGAATGGCCAGCAAATCATTGCCAAATCGGGAAAACAAGCAGTGAGAAGGAAAACAACACCAGCTGCTTGAGCTATTTGCACATGGACCCCATAGAATACAATTAGTTGCTTTCTAACCTGGTCTAACGATCAGATATGTCCACCATAAATCCTACTTAGCCTGATTTTAAACCTTACCTTCTAGGTGGTCTGTTTTCTTTGGGATGAGGATGAGGATGATGAGGATGATGAGGATGATGAGGATGATGAGGATGATGATGATGATTATGATGATGATGATGATGGTGATGGTGATGATGGTGATGATGGATGGTGATGGATGGTGATGGTGATAGTGAAAGTGCTAGTGACTGCTAGTGATAGTGATGATAATTTGGGATAGAACATACCAAATTGAGTTGAAACCACCAATCGACATGAACCACAATCTCTGACGCTGAACCGCATCCGCATGGTTTGATTCAGCTCCACTTCTTCGAGAACCATGTGTACAGCAGTTGGCTTTCAAAGCCACTGGGTATAAATGATGGGGTCATAACTTTGCCCCGGGCACCAACGACTAAAAGATCCTTTACGGGTCGGGGCATTCTTTCTGGGGTTTTGAAGGGCTTGACCCATCCCTAATCCCCATGGCTCAAGGATTCCCTTTGCTGGTGGCAAGTGCCACATTTTTCGCTGATTTTGGACAACCACGTGAATCACCAAGTCGGTGAAACAAACAAAACGTAAACCAACATTGATGAACCCTTGCTCGACCAACTAGTGCAAGTTAGTATAAGCCCTAGATCTAATGGAGTGTAAAGTGGGGAGTGTGGAGTGGCTATCTTGTGGAGGCGGTCTTTATTCTTACGGTGATGGAATATGTGATGGAATATATATATATATATGTATGTATGTATGTATGTAATGTATGTAATGTATGTAATGTATGTAATGTATGTAATGTATGTAATGTATGTAATGTATGTATGTATGTATGTATGTATGTAGGTATGTATGTATGTATGTATGTATGTATGTATGTATGTATGTATGTATGTATCACATAGTCAACAATCAATAATTAATGAACACATAACAACACAAGGAATCAACAAGTAAGAACAACAAGACCAGTAATTATATATACTCTACAGTATTGTACAGTATAATCAGCAATCAATAGAATAAAATAGCTATGTATTAATATGTACTGTATCTCTCTCTCTCTATATAATTATATCTGTTGTTCTGCTTCATATCCAAACAAAAATATCAGAAAATCGTGACACCTTTTTGCTCAGCACCGGAAGAGTGCCTTGGGCCATCAGCCGTCTCCGCCACTAAGGCCTCTTCTCGAGCCATCAGCCAATGCGTCGACACCAGGTCGTAGTGCGACCTGAGATGGGGCCGTTTTTTTCGTCGATCCTTGAAGATCCACCATCGTTTATGGTTATAGGTAGAAGGGGTTACGAGCCTCTTTATATGTATATATATAACCATATAGATACATGTATGTATATATACGCGCAACGCCTGGGTTTTGCCCAGGCGTTGCAGCGTAGAGGTTTCCCATTCACAAACAAATGATGTTGCAAATTACCGTAATTCCTATGGGGAAAATAACAAAGGTACTAGGGACTATTAAACAAACAAGGTCAAAACACCCCAAATTCCTATGCGAAAAACAAAAACGGCATAACATTTGAAATTCCTATGGGACAAACAACAAAGGTACTAGGAAATTTTAAACTCTCAAATCGTGAAACTTAACATTCAATTAGGAAGATCAACAAAGATATTAGGGAATATTAAACTCCCACCCCCGTTAAACCTTAAATTCCTATGGGGAAAACAACAAAGGTACTAGGGACTATCTAAAAAAAATGTCAAAACACCCGAAATTCCCATGGGAAAAACCAACAAAAACGGTATTAGGGAATATTAAGCTCCCACCCCCGTTAAACTTTACATTCAATTGGGAAGATCAACAAAGATATTAGGGAATATTAAACTCCCACCCCCGTTAAACTTCTACATTCATTGAAGATCTTCAATAAGAGTTTAATTCTCCCACCCCACCCCCGTTAACCTTCTACATTCATTGAAGATCGTCAATAAGGGTTTGATGATGTTGATGATGATGATGATTATGTTGATGAACATGATGTTGATGTTGATGATGATGATGATGATAATGATGATGATGCGTCGCCCGTCGTCATTGCGGGTCCGGGCAAAACCCAGGCATTTGCCGTATATATATATGTGTACAAATATATATATATATAGATATATGGGAAGAACTACACACACAATATATATATATATATACACACAGGAAGAACATGTTCTTGCTTCACTGGAAAATGAGAAGGATTTGGAACAAATGGCTTTGGGACAGTTTATCTCAACAGATGGTTGATTACCTTAAGTTCAGGGTGGCTTGCAGCAAAGTCATTGGCAAAAACAGAGTCCTTTGAGGAAAACTCAAGATAGCCATCAGATCTTCATGAGGCTTGTCTATATAAAAGATGTCATCCAAAAACATCGCTCACTTTTTTTCATGGGGGAAACAGGGAAACCAATGGTTGAACCCATTATATTATCTGATTACGATGAGTTCAATCAGCATCATGAGAATGTCATATATCATCCAATGGGTTCTTTTTCATTGCGCCGAATTTGTTTGATTGCCATAATTTTGGTTTGTGACCTTTTTTTCGACCGCTGACATAAATCTCACTGCAACCAAGTCACTTGCCATTGTACCAGAGCACAATACAAGGATTCCTGCCCAGCGATCGAAGGGAGACATATGGAGACATCGTTTGGTCCTTTCTTTGGGCAAAATCCAATCATGTCTGGCCAAAACCAGATATGAAAACCCGCCTCTATTGTATCATATGAATCGTACCCATCTATATACATCATTATACATCTATATACTATATACTTATGGCATATTATTTGTTTGGATTTGTTAGGTGAGAAATGATTGATTTACCCTCGCTCATTAGATCTGGAGGGCTGATATCACAGCTCTGTGTCGAACACGAGATTTCACCGTGGCCTCATGGGATATGGGTCAAAATTAGGCACCGACACATGCGATTCTCCGCCGCTAGAAAGTTCAAATGATAACTGCATCATACTGCATCTATGGTATCATAGATAGTCATAGATAGTCTCTATAGCAACCTCAAAATAGAGTGAAAAGATTTGACAAACTGCATATACCTGAATACAGTACCTGGGAATCATGCGATGAAGATCATGTACAACAAAGCCCATCTTAGTCTCATCATATCCATATTTGATATTTGGGATGATTTGGCTTGGTAAAATCTCTCCACCAGTCGGAATCGCCCACGTGCCAAGATGCCTCTGCTTGTCCTTTTCGCTGGGGAGATACATCCCCGCGTCGAAAAAACTTCCTTGCTGAGCATTGAAGGAATAGACCTGGATAGGACACCTCAGCCGCAGCCCCATAAGCTGCTGGGCCGTGGAAAATTGACCAATCTGCATGACAAGCATGATCAGTATCTACAGCTCTGAAGGGGAGAGAAATATTCGAAAGACATTAACTGGTTTTGACAGATATTTTCTTCGTAAGATCATCATTCAAAAATAACATATGCTGGAGGTCACCAAGGAAGAACGTGGAAGAACATGATTGAACATGTGCTTTGTCACCGGACTGAATGATGTCTGGAAGGAATTTCAAGCAGATCTCGTCGCCCCAAGTTCTCCAATCCTCCATCCGTTGGATGTAGTCTTCCACCTGCGAGTGTTCGCTGCGAATATTGCCTGGATCTCTGGAACTATTTATTGCCAGTTCTAATTCCAAGGTTCTGATTTAGTTCAGAATAGGAACATACATGATAATACCCGAAGATGTAGTTTGAATCAGTTTGAACACTTTCCAGTCCTTTGGTGTCAGTGTGCCCATTATGGTCCAAGGCTCATCTCTCTTTTTCGGGCTTTCGCTCGATTTCCCAGCTAGCCACCGTCTATTTGGTGGTGCAGTTAAGGTTATTAAATGTTATTAATGGATATGACTATGGGATTCTATATAACCAATATTAACCAATTATATCCACCATAAGTTGGAATTTGGAGGTTTCATAAATAGGGGTACATATCCACTTGTAACTGGAACTGAACCCCCCAGGCTTTTTGAAGTTGCCCAGCTTTTCCAGTAGTGGACCGCCATCACCAGTAGGCAATGTGAAACCCTCCCACACAAAACAAGGGACCTCTGTGCAGTCACTATTCCCATCACATGGGTAAGGCTCAAAACCGGGGAGCAACAAACCGAACCAACATAAATTGCCATGTTCGGTTCTTGGGTGCATTAAACCATCCAATTTGGCGCCAATAGTTTTGAGCCATACCTATAGTTTCCATCATCTTTGGTGGTTGTTGGTTACAACTCCATTTCAGACCCCGATTGTTGGTGAAATCCCCGTGTTTGTTTTTTGACAAACAAAACACAGCGGCAGGGTCACCCACCTCTGACCTTGCAAGGCCGTTTCAGTTTCAAACTCAACTTGCCGCCTGAGGTATATTGCCCCCGGCAAAGCTGACAAAGATATTTATGGCCCTTCTCAAGGGTCATAGTGTGAGTACAATGCAGGTTGGGGTGCAGGCCAGACCCACAACAACACGAGCCCCACCAGTGCACCGGAGCGCCATGGACACTTTCAGCTTCTCAAGCAAATCCCCGTGTTTGTTAGCGAAGTCACCCTTTTCCACGGGGACACCCACAGAAAATGACAGCCTCCAGCTCCCCGCCCAGCCTTCACCGCAGGGTCTTCCAGCAGCGGCGCCACATCAGCTTTCCGCTGTCGAAAAAGCTTGCAGAGCGTGGCACGCAGTTTATCCTCACAGCGCATTTTCAAAATACCCGGTGTTCCCCACGAAGTACTGGTTGGTTAGTACATAGTCGTATGGGTTGGCTCATAATCCCAATGTAAGCAGATAGTCAAACCCTCTACAATAATCAATCAATAGGGGTATGTTCAATGACTCAATTGGAGACAGAACCAACAATGCTTATAGTCTAGTCACCACCGCAAAAAAAAAGAAACGTAGTTTGGCATCATTTATCGTTCTATACTTTTCTATCTATTTTCAGGGTTTACTATAAGGTACGTTGTGTATATATATATTATAGGACCAAGCAATGAACAGTCTACAATAGATATTCAATTCGTTGGTCCTTTTCAAATATGATTTGAACCTGTCCTGGCGACATAGAACCAGTGATTTGGACGGAAAATGAATCTCCAATCAGGACATATCAGGACTGCCAAAATAGGAAGATGTTCGTTAATAACTTATAACTATAATTACAGTAATGCTGCTTTCTCTCTGGAAAAAATATGGATGTTCATGGCAAATATATCTGCAGTTGGATGGGTGGAACTCAACCAACCTATTTCAAGGGCGGGGGGTAGATGGAGAGGTGGAAACAATTTCAAAGCTGAAAGAATAGGGGGGTTGTTACCATGGGTTACCATTACCAACAAACATGGGGAAGTAATATGAAGTAATGCTCATATGAGGAGTCAAACAACATGAGTTTTTAGCAGCGAAAAGATGTATCTAGCCAACATGAATTGGGATTTGTGGCTAGATTGGACTTGATGAACGAAAAATGAGGCTGCTCACCTTCGCAAATATGCGGGAATCAACCTGCGCAGAAGGAAATACCTATAACCCACAGATAAGGGTTGCCTGTTGCTTAATTTCAAATAGGAACTTCAACACTTTTCACCAGCAAAACAAGTTGGAGGCACCCAATCTTTGGATCAGCGACATCAACGTGCTGGAGCAATGCACCATACGCACCATATTTAGAAGGGAAGAAGATCCAGAAATAAATCCATATAAATTCCAAATATATAGGATTTCGATGGATTTCATCAGGGTCCCATTGTACCAGCACCATCCAGCACCCATATCCAAATAGCATCAAATACCCAGCCAAGGCTCTGCAAATTGGCATTCTTTGATGCGACTCTGTTCCTCCAATGGCTCGCCTTTGGAACTTCGGGGGATCTCATTGCATTGGTCCAAAAATCTGGACCGCACCACGGCGCGGAACAAACATCGGCAATCGCCCAGCACTTTCCAAATCTCCAAGCGCTGCGATTCTTTCGGTGCACTCTGAACAGGAGCTGGGGCCAATGGAACTGGTTGCAGTGAAGTGTTTGAATCATTCTTGATCTGGTTGATCTGGTTGATCTGGTTGGGTGTCGATAAATTCGGATTTGGTGGCCGATTCCTGGACTCCATGGATTCCAAGCTTTGGGAACCCCCTGGGATTCCTGCGGCGTCGGCTTTGGAAGCGCCGCTGAGGCCCGGCGTCACCCGACGCCGCGTGGGTTGCAGCCCGACTGTGGGCTCCGTGGGCTCCATGGCCGTCCGCTTCCGCGACAGGCTGACGGGGCCTGGACACCCCTGGGATGGGGATTTGAATCCCACCCATAGTGATATTATGTGATATTGGGATATATTGGGGATGGTTCATTATTGGCATTACATGGCATTACCAGTTGACCACATTAGAATACATTAGATTTAAATGACCAAATTCGAAATAATCGGTGTGATTTAGATATGTGTGGATGTAAGCAAGAAACATGATACAAGCAACAAAGGTTACTGTGCTGAGGATAATCTAAATATAAAGATGCGTCAAATAGGAAATGGATCGGAACTTCGCAAAAACCATTTCGTGGCCAAACGGGTATCAATTGTTTGGATCAGGTTCAGCTTACGTATATTTCGTCTTATGTATATATATTATATATATAATATTTCGTCTTATGTATATATATTATATATATAATATAAAATAAATATATCACGACTTGAGTGGGATTTTGAAGTTGTTCATTGTTCTTTCTATCTTTTTTGGAGATTGCTACAGTGTCCAACATCAAGTCCAATGGTCATTTTTTCGAGAAACATTCAGAATCCCGCAGCACAAGGCCTTCAGAAGTCCGCGGCTGCGACTGCTGGGAGGATTGTGAGTCCTGGTCTCAGGCTGCGGAATCCCAATACAATTAGCAGGTCAAACAAAAACGAGGTCAACTGGCTGCTCAGTTGCTCCTCAGGTTTAAACATTTAAACCCCATGTTTCACTATTAACACTGCTATTTTGAGGTACAGTCCGTTTCAACAGAAAAACAACTTTCATTAATTTATATTAATTTCATTAATTTCATATTGGTTCACTCACTGATGGTGAAGCCCACCGCATCCCACATCATCCCACCTGCGTTTCTCCCTGGCTCTGACTCTGGCTGGAGCGGCTCGGCTTGGCAGGAGCATCTAGAAGCTCCACCAAAGGCAAGAGTTGTTCCACTGAGAGATATCCCATCTCTCGCCATCGACTTACTAAACCTGGGTAATCTGGATAGAAAAGTGGGGGATTTGGGGGGATTTCATGACAAGCACAGAAAACAGGGATTGAAGCAATGAAGGATGGAAGTGGCTTTGCGCAAAAATGGGGGGTAATCCCGAAATAATCAATGTTCAACATTGTTCAACGGGTAAAATGATGAACATGTCCACTGGATTCTGCTGTGTTCCCAATATGTTCAAACAAACCCAAATGCCTGGAACGTGACACAAACAAATAGATACGAAGGTCCATAATCAAAAAGCGGTCCTGTTTCAGTGTAAAACCATCTATTTGTTTGTTTGGGTGCAATAGTTATGAGCCACACCCAAATGCTAAATGAGGTGATCAAGCAAAAGAACACCACATTGGCATCCCAAAAGCCTCTACAACATGTCAAATAGCCTAAGCAAATAGCTTGTACCGAGTACATCCGAGTACCTTGCGGCACTGCATGTCCAACTCCCCTTTTTTCGGCAATCGATGCCCAAGGGACCACGGGTCTTGTCCAACGAAGCTTGAGAACGTTGAGAACAGGTCAAGTATTTGTAGATCCACTCTTTCAGGTAGGGCAAGAAATTCTTCAGCATCTGGACACAGTGACAGGGATCAGTTTTGAACATAGAGATCGTTTTGGGCTGAACACGGTTTTTAATACCTGTACAATGAGAATTACGTGCTGCTGTACACGCAAGGAGATTGTTCGACTCTACTGCTTAGCGGCAAGGTGTGACCTGTGAACCCCCATCTCACAGTTGAACGTCTTACATTGCATTGCATGCAACATCGTGCAGCCACGGTGTCGCAGTGTCGTTTGACAACGTGAGAGGTCTCAAAGAACCAGGCCACAAGTTTTCGAAAGGAATTGCATGACAGACTTCTTTGGAATAGAAGTTCATCGTTTGGGGTATTTCATCTGGACCCATCCCCTAATGTATGAACACAATGGGATTCTGATCTTGGAAGGAGGAGTCTAAATGGGATTGCAATATATTGCAATGGGGTTCTAATGTAATTGGATCAGCCAACAGTTTGATTTTGACATATATGGTTTTCTCAAAAAAATGGATCAAAAAAAACATGATTGATATTGATTGGTCGTCATCTTCCCCAATATGGTTGTCACCCACTTTCACCATCCGGTATTGGTTCAACCTGCCTCATCCGCCAGTGGATCCGGGTCCTTACTTTGTCTGGCCCTCTCAGCGTGTTTAAAGACTTTGTCCACCACATAGAGCAGAGCGCGCAAGTCCATCATGGGGCTACTCTGGGCCTCCTCGTGGTTAGGAGCTCACATCGATGGTCACGTGCCAAGCAGGGCCGTGCATTTGGAATTGTCAATGAGTATCATCATGGTCAACAACAGAAGTTGGACTATAAAACTATAACCCTCCGGTAATACATATATATATAATGTGCCGGATATCTATGTCTATATCTATTGTTATACTATATGGAAGTTTCCTAAATTGGGGGGGGACCTCTAAATCATCCATTTTAGTCGGATTTTCCATTCTAAGCCATCCATAAAATTGGGATACCTATGAATACCACCACCATTTCAGGAAACCCCCACATTATCTAACTCAATAAGAATTTTCTGCTTTCCTCCAGATGTCGGGACTCCTGAGGCAGTTTTCCTTCTATATGCCATAGAAACCCCCCAATATTGGGCTGGATGGTTTTCATGGGAGTATCTTGCCCGACCCCGACGCATCCCGACAGCGCCTCAATCAAAGCGCAGACCTCCGACAACGCGAAGGCACTGCAATCCTGGGACGAAGCGGATGCGGCTGACTCTGCTGGAAAATGTCCACTCAATGGGAAATCAATGGGAAATTATGTTCTATAACTGTAGATGCTTTTCTGATCTCCAGCAGCCAGAGCAATGATTGCTGGAAGGTAGGAACTTGGGATGTTTTGCAGGATCGAACGCGTTGCAGCTCCAAACACTGGATTGAACGGAGGGAAGATGGCAAAAAAGAATGAGCGAATCGACTGCCTGGGTGACGTTCTTATTGTGTCTGTTGGCGTTCTTATACCTGCTTCATGCATAGAACACCAGCGGATTCAAGATGAAAGCTCCCATCAAAAATAGAAGGCTTCCACGTCCAGGTCAAATTCTTAGTGGATGACGATCATCCTCAATATGTTTACGATCATCCTCAATATGTTTAAAAAAGGTAGCTTAGGCCCAGCCAACGGCCGTTTCGGCATGGGCTGTTTCGCAGAAACGCGTTCTGCCCACCTCGGCACAAATCAAATTGGCTGCATCCTGGATTTGGGCGTTGTAGACGTCTCGAGGTATCCTCAGTTGAACTGACAAAAAATCTCAACGCTACGGAGTGGCAAAGCCTGTTTGCCATAAACCATCCCCAATTTCACCGGAAACAAATGGCTACAACCCTCCAAAAATTGGAGGTTGACTATTGGGTTTACCACATTCCCTACTGTTCGCCACACTCTTGAAACAAAATCCTACAATTGGAAATCTGTCAAATCTGTTCATCTAAGCCAGCAAGTGAAACATCTGCGATCCATACAACAACAATATTCAACAAATTGTTATGCCTAAACCTCCTATTAATATCATTTAATCGTCCCAGTAAATCCTATTAGATCCCACTAATATCTCATTAAGAAACTAATCCCTTCCCTCCATTTTTGCCTTCCAGTCTCTGAGACGATTGCGTCTGCCTCTGAGACGCCTTGCGCAAAGCTTTTTGCAGAGTTTGGCGTGCAGTGCCTTTCATGGCTTCCCATGAGCCGCAATGTCGCGAACCGGCCAGTGGCTGGTCATTTGGAAGATCTGGGTTAATCTAAGACTCTAAGACCATCCACTGGTCGGCGGGTCGGGGATTTGTTGTGTTTTTTGACACAAGAATTTCGAGCGATTGAAGAAGAAAGATACTTTCAGCTTTCAGATGCTTTCAGCAACTAGCCAACCTGATATAAGAAGTGTCAAAAAATAAATTCAAGAATCCCCAAAAACAAAGTTTGGGGAATAGCGATTCCCAGTTCATAGATTATGACAATTCCCGATATAAAAGATAGGCCTATCAAAAACAACAACAAAAAATAATCAACCAGCAAAGGTAGATACCATATATAGCGGTTCCAGATCATTATAATCATACTTGTATATATAATATATATATATATTATATATATAATGTGTATATCATCCTATTCCCATCATATGCTTATGGTAACTATCTTCAATCAGCCCTTTGGATCAGTTCCAAGAGCAACTCTCCTTGAGCCCGAAGCATCGGAAAACTGTTTCCGGTGTAGCTGTTCATCCACATGTTGAAAGCTTCATCTGGCAGAATTTCAATGGCTCACCAACGCATCCAGGTTTATCCGAAAATACTTGGGTATGTCTAAATTTGAAAACGACAATCATTTCCGTATAGCCCAATTATATGGAATACTAGCATTTATTATGTCATGTATTATTATTATTATATTATTATTATTATCATCAGTCCCCCATTATAACACTCACATTTATGACTAACATCTGCATGGCCATCATAAGTTCCCCCCGGGCGGCCATGCCTCGGCCATCGCGGAAGTCGAAAAATTGGCACCCATGGTGCCCTGAAAAGTAAATTGGCGAAACCAGCAAGTCATGTAGCTGTTGTAGCTGATACAAATCAGAAACAAAGATTGATACTAAAATGAAGGTCAATCCAGAAATCATACCAATTCTTGGGAGAACAAGAAGTCTAGTTTTGCTTTTTGATGTCCATGAAAAGTTTCATTTTCTGTTCCACCTCACATCACGTTACGTCCCTCACCGAAGGAAATCCTTCGCCCGCCTCTGGCGCAAGGCCCAAGGACTCGGTGGATGATTACCATCGGAGAATTCCGTAGAAATCCCCGTGATCTAAAATGATCTAATACATATATATATATAATGTATGTATATGTATATATATTTCGAATTTTATAGATGATATCTGAAGAATTCACAGTCCCGAAGCCAAATTCAGGTGTCTGATATTGTTGTGTCCACAATCTTGACCATTCATGCTTGAGGTTGCTATAGATTCTCCAAAAATGGTGGAACTACTGTGATACAATACAACTGCAATTTGTACAAGCAGTTTGATTTTTTGCCTGACTGCTATAAACAACAAGAATTACTATATCCTCGCTGATGTAATATATAGTGGGTGAGATTGGGGGACATCACAGTAGATCAGCTACAATAACGAGAAAACCATTTACCAGCACTGGTAGATCAAATCAAGATCGCTCCTTTTAATGCGTGTTCAGTTCCCTCTATTGCTGAGTAAATCCAAAAGTTTTGTTGGTGACTTCCCCATGAAATGTGCCATTTCTACCGAGATTAGCAAGGCTTGTTTTTTTTTAAATCCCCATCTCTAATGTGGTTGGGAAACGAATTATTCGTACAGGATGGTGCCCCCCCGGTTACGGTCGTTGGTTTATAAACCCCATTAACAACAGTTATATCTACCACAAATATTTCAACTTAGCTATCTTGGGGGCCCCATCCTGTAGCTCTAAGATGGATTATGGATAACCATCCCCACTTGGCAGTTCTTTGTGGCATGGGCAGTGTTCAAAATCCCTGCCTGGTTGGTTAATAGTGATTCCCCTATTGGCTTATTATAATCCCCAGTATTTTGGGTAGTACAATCCGCTGTAATCCTCCACCATCATTTATCAGGTGTATTATCCACTTATATGCCCTATAAAACCCCAAAACTTATCATATACCCTCTGGTGAACTAACATAGCCATGGAAAATAACCATTTTTAATAGGTAAACCATCTATAAATGGGCCATCTATACCATGGCTATGTTAAATAACCAGAGGGTATCATATAACAGGTGGTATAACTGATAAATGATGGGTTGTGAACACAGCTCACATTCCTCTTCTGCCGTAGCTCCGTTCAGCCCCTCCGAAAAAAACCACGCCAAGTCGCAACTGTAGAGCCACTGACTTGCCTGAGCCAAATCGATGAGTGGTTGCTCAACCCACGATTTCATCCATGATTTCATGGTGATTTCATGGTGATTTAGTGGTATTTAATGGTGATCATGGAATTTATATAATGGGATTTAATGGGATATATGATATATCAAATAACTGCGGTTGGAAGGGATTCATGAAATTGGCTGGTTCATACCGCGGTTTCCAGTTCATGGATTATGATAAACCCCAAAAAATATCCCGAATATATTGGATAGTACAACCCCCAAACTAATCATCAACCAACCATCATTTATCAGTTATAGGTGGCATAACTGATAAATGATGGCTTTTGAACACTGCTCAGATATCAGTGCATCCAACATGATGAGGCATCAAAATTTGGGAGTAATGTGGGTAAAATAATGTAACAAACCACCCATGACTGGGAATGGTACCCATACCACCTATAAAAATGGTGATGACAGGGGGATGGGGGTACCCGATTTTTTTGGACACACCTGAGGAACAACAACTAAGGGAAACATCGCTGTTGAAACCGTGGTGTTTAATTTAGTGTTCACATGATCTTACCATCAAATACAGTAAAGGTAAACCTCACCAACGTTCCCTTCAGCAATTTTTGGAAAGACAAAAAACATTTCGCATCGGTGTTTCAAGTCAGTAATCAAGGCTCTTGTTGACGTTTTATACATCTCTCTGTCTGGGACCCAGCTCTCCACGAAAAAACAAGTAAGAAGTCACGTTAAAGGTTGCCATTTGAATCTATCTAGGGTTACTATGAACCTTCAATCATGCTGGCACCAAAATGGACATCCGTCGTCCACAAGACTGGTGGGAAAAACTCAACATCTCATGTTGATCATCATGTTACCTATGGAAATGCACCAGCCTGGCATATCCCCCACTTTCAGACACACCCAATGGTTGGAACCTCCGCCCCAACACGGACCAGTCTGGCACACCGCCCTCAGTCCCTAGCTCAGCACTGCGTCCGGATGCACGTCTTTCAAAGCCGCCTGCCATGTCAGCTCCGAAAGGGTGCAGGGATGACTCAGCATGACTCAGCATGACTCAGCATGACTCAGCAAGGCTGGATCTATCTGGATCTTCCGTATCCAATTTTTTTCACATCATTTTTACTTGCTGAGACCGTTGAACGTTCATCGCCTGAGGTGGTGGACTCGGTATAGTCCGACTCGTAGGACGACTCGCTATCACTGGACTGCGACAACGGGGCCTTGGAGCGGCAGGTTGTTTTTCGATGGGATTTAAGTGGGTTAAACATGGAGACATAGAAAACATGATGAGTTTAATGGTGATTTCATGGGATGTTAATAGGATTTACTCTCTGGTAATGACTAACAGTTTGCTATTGAACATAGCCATTTAGTTCGTTGATTGATCTATGAAAAGTGGGGATTTTGCATAGCAAACTGTTGGTTTACCAGAGAGTAAACCATCGAATTTTACTGGGAATTAGCTGGTGAATTCACTGGGATTTGACCAAAGTCAGGGCGATTTCATGGTGATATCATGGTGATATCATGGGAACACAAGTGGGAATATTAGATAAAAATAGCATTCATGTAGAATATGTAAGTCTTATCCCCCATCCATATTTGTCACACCCCCATTCTATGGTCCCAAATTATATATATATATATGTAACTATATGTGTGTTTATCCCCTACATCCACCATGGTTTCTGAGGGGTGTTTAATATTAGGCGGGTGGGATTATGTGGTAACTGTGAACAAAATATTAATGTCCTAGCCTGTCCCACTTTGCAAGAAATATGTTGACATATGGCGGTTTTTCAGCACATCATACAAATGTGTGCAAAAAACATCTTCAATATAACATTCCAATATATCTGAAAAATATTTCTGGAAATGTGTTTGAAACATCTTGAACTGAAATGAGCATGTTCGTATTAATAAATCCCCAGTAGAATGGTGGCTTTTCATCAGGATTCAGAGCTTAGGGAAGCAACGGCAGTCAGTAGATAAAGGGTAGCATAAACCCATGTAACCACCACAAAAAACATCACACAAATGCCCACATATATATATACACGCATACATATATATATATACATGTGTATATATATATGGATATGTATATGTATATATGTATACGTGTATATAGGTATATAAATAAAAAAATAAAAAGAAATAAATAAATAAATATATATATATCATATTGCGAGTCATATATCCCAGTATGAATCCTCATCCCTATGATACCTATGAAAGCTCAACCAGCCATCGTGTTTTTCGTTCCCTGAGGCTCCCAGGCTGACAGGTCATCCGCCGGACCCAGTACCTCTCCATCAATGGAGGCTACATGTCATATGATTTACATGTATAGTGTGTGTGTGTGCCATATGTGTATATTATTATATACTATAATATATTATCGAAGGAAGTTTAGAAGTCAAACATCCAACAATATGGACAGATGGAAAAGCAGAGGTGGGAAGAGGCAGAGAGAAGAGAAAGATTAGAAGAGAGAAGAGTAGAAGAGAAAGACAGAAGAAAGAAGATGCAGATGCGCGAAAAGGTAGGAAAGTCGCGAAACACTATGTTTTTCCAATGATTTGTGGCTCCGGAGGGCTCGCTAAAGCGGCGGGTGCGGAGCCAGCTGGCCAGATGAGAGATGAAAAATTGCACGCCGTTGTGGCGCAAAGCACATTTCGAAGTCAAAATGTTAAAAACACCACATGTTCGGACCACTTTTTGACGTTCAGATGTCGTTTCGCGTGGCGGGCGCAAAGGATTGTGCACCTTGTCAAGAGTGGGCAAAACGTGAGGGCAAAAACGATGGCAGGCGTGGGACGTTTGAAGAGGATCTGCAAAGATGCATTTTCCGTGGCAGGCGCAGTACAAGAGACATGTTTATCAGAGATGTTAGGAGGTCCGGGCGCTGATTTCCTGAGAGGGGTTGCATTTTGGAGCATCAGATTTTCAGTTTTGGGAAGATGATTTTGCTCTGATTTTGCGTGACAGGTGCAGCACTTCGTATGACCTGGCATCACTTTTTCGTGGCAGGCACAATGCTTTAGACAGGTGGAGTGGAAAAATCGCAAAACGCATTGGTACGAGGCCGTCAGCTCTGCACTGAACTTTCCATTTTTGAAGGAAGTCTGCCAGAATTGTTTCATTTTTGATGTCATCAACTTTGAAAATTGAGGAAGTCTCGCAGAATTGTTTCGTTTTCGGTGTTGTCAAGTTCAAAAATTGAGGAAGTCTCGCAGAACTGTTTCGTTTTTGACGTTATCAAGTTCAAAAATTGAGGAAGTGTCGTCAAATAGCTGCGTTTTCAAGCTTGCAGATAGACAGAGAGATAGATTAGATTAGATTAGATCAGATCAGCTTAGATTAGAGCAGAGTAGATTAGATTAGATTAGATAGATAGAAAGATAGAAGATAGATAGATAGATAGACAGATAAATAGATAGATAGATAGATAGATAGAAGGAAGATAGATAGATAGATAGATAGATAGATAGATAGATAGACAGATAGATAGATAGACAGACAGACAGATAGACAGGTAGACAGCTAGACAGATAGACAGATGAAAGAGAGAGAGAGATAGATAGATAGACAGACTGACAGATAGACAGGTAGACAGCTAGACAGATAGACAGATGAAAGAGAGAGAGAGAGATAGATAGATAGATAGACAGACAGATAGACAGGTAGACAGATAGACAGATGAAAGAGAGAGAGAGAGATAGAGATAGATAGATAGATAGATAGGTAGATAGATAGATAGACAGATAGAAAGATAGACAGATAGATAGATAGATAGATAGACAGTTACAACTACAACAACTACAACTACCACTACACTACACTACTGCCACGACTACAAATACCAAAATACTAAGCTACATTACACAACAATTACCCTACACTACACTAATTACATCTAACTACACTACACTACACCAATTACATTAACAAAGACAACAGCAACAACAACAACAACAACTACTACTACTACTACTACCACCACCACCACAACTGCAACTACAATTGCAGCTACACTACACTACACTAAATACACTGCAGCACACTTTTTGTCAAGCGAAATGCAGTCCATAGCACAGGCCTCGAGGACTACACGTCAGCAGTTTGAGTGAACTCTCCCATTTCCGGGGAATACAAGTTGATCCCAATCATAGCGATTCGAAGCCACGGGCAACAATGCGTTCCAAATGGTAGTGGTATTTTGCCCGTCAATCAAGGAAGGGCCAAAGTAGCGTTGAACTGTTGCAGTTGTGGCAATCTCGTATAGAGGGTGGTGCACTTCTTGGTTGGAGGGAGAATGTCCATTGTGGAGCTGTAGAAAGCGATGGTGGGCTTCAGACATCGCTATTTCCGGCGAATGCACTCTGGGGCGGCCGATCCGAAAGGGAGAGGAAATTGCACGCAAAGAGTGGGAAGTATTGAACGAAATTTTATGTTCAAGGGAGTCAAAGTGGCGGAGTATGTGGCCTAGGTATCGTAGACGTTGAACTGAGATTCGTTGACTAGGGATCAGGAGACGAGGTGCATGAACGGAAGCAAGTTGAGAAGGAAAGCGTTTGAACATTCCGCATCAGAGGGCTGCAGGGCCCTGTGGTAGAAGGAGCTTTTAACTTGGAAGATTTGTCGGAGAACTTTGTAGTGGAGGGCGTTAAATCTGGTGATTTGGGCAGGAGTGTAAACCTGTGACTCACAACCATAAAGGAGAATTGCCATAACAATTTGTGAATAGATTTGAAGGCGCCGTCGGACCAGAGCAGGATTTGTAAAGACGGGAAAGAGGGAGCGGAAGGCTCCGGACGCCTGGGAATATCTGTAGTTGCAATCAGCATCAGAGGAATCGTTGGCAGTTATGTATGCCCCAAGGTATTTCGCAGAATTAACGGGGTGGATCTGTGGGCCGAAAGGGGCAGTACCTGAACAATGAGAGCAGGAGCATGGGCTGCAGGGGTCTACACAAGGAGACAAATGAATAGGGAGATCAGAATGGAGACGAAGGAGTTGGCATTTCTCCGGATTTAAGAGGAGGCCACGTTTGCAAGCTTCATGCTGAAGAGTATACAACAGCCGATGAAGGGTGAGCTGGGTACGAGCCATCAGTACTGTGTCGTCAGCATATTCAATGTCGGTTACAGTGGTGCGGGCGGAGAAGGTCCAAGGAGTGTAATGGAAAAGCTGTTCAAAAAGAGAATAAACATCGTGCATAGCACACTACAGCTACAAATACAACTACAACTACAACCACACTACATTACACAACACTACACTGCACTGATTACATTGCATTACGCTACAACTGCAACTGCAGCTGCAACTGCAACTACAACTACCACTACATTACACTACACTACGCTGCACTACACATACTACACTATACTACACGACACTACACTACACTACCTTACACTACGCTACACTACACTACGCTACACTTCACTACACTTCACTACGCTACACTACACACCACTACACTACACTACACTGCATTACACTACACTACATTACACTACACTACACAAATTACGCTGCACTACACTACAACCAGAACTACACTACACTACACTAATTACACTGCGCTACACCACAACAAGTACAACTACACTACCTACACTCGACTACACTACACTATACCACACTACACTACACAACACTACGCGACATTACGCTGCACTACACTACACTAATTACACCACACCACGACTACAACTGCAACTGCACTTGCAAATTCAAATACACTAAGTACACTACATTACAGCTACAGCTCCACTACACTACACTACAACTACAACTACAACTGCAACTACAACTGCACTACACCACACTACATCCAGCAGTTGTGGTAAGGTGACCACTGCAACCATTGCAACCATTCCAAGCACAACTCCAACCACCTGTCGGTCCATCAGTGGATTCGCTCTGCCATCCGTGATTCACAACAACCAACCTCTCCTATAGGTTTCCTATTTTTGAAACTTCCGCCACCGCCTTGTGCGGTACTACTGGTATAATATTATATAATATATAACGACTATATGATGTGTATGATGTGTACGTATTGTATGCAGGAACTAGTATCCAAAGTTTTCCCAGTCGTGCTTCTATGATCCAGGCGCCCACATCTGCCAAGCATCATGGAGACAATCATATTGGATCGATCATTATGGCTAGAGTAACAACCATTTTTTGACGTAATGTGCTACTAAAATAGTGATAAATTGAACATGTTCTATCTTTTAGAGGGCTACTTTAGATCCTGGATATCCTGCACAAGTCAAGACGATTATCATCCAGGAAACTCCCAGGAACACCAGTCATCTTCCAAATTGGGGGTCAGGGACCAACCACGGTGCACATTCAAATAAAAAAATGATTGGTTGCAAGAGATTGCAAGCAAAAATAGCCGGAAACCCTGGAAAAAAAGAACAAAACCATTCAAAAAAGCAGGCTAGCAGTTTACTGGCTTTCCTGAGCATGAACACTGAAAATGTCGCCTCAAAACAACAGAACACGTGGGAATTCTGCAACCCAGTCCTGCATAAGACCTCGCAATTCTTCAGCTAAGTTGGCCTGCGACAATGGGAGATGACGGCCGATGGCACTTACAACTGTCATGACGGGTTTAGAAAATTGATTTACAATTAGTCCTGGAGGGTTTGGTATACTTGATAGAGGGTCCCAAACAAAGAGGCCCATCCACCTCCTAAATTACACCCCCCAAAACTAACGTGAAACCCCGCAAATATCCAAAAAGAAAAATCTTTCTGACAGGACCACCTTTTCTCGGGTTCCATGATCAATTGCATTTTTTTGGGGACATATGGCAAGGATGCAGAAAATTTCATAGATAAGCTGACTAGATGTTTGTTCATGTTGGTTCCAAACTGATTGGGCAATTTCGGATACTACTGACCAGTAGTATCCAATTGTACAGTACAGCCAGCTGCTCACAGCATCCCAAAACCCGAATGGGAAGGCGTTACTGGGGGATACACATGAATAAACCATCCCCAGTTTGTGGTTTTACAAGTGAGTCGAGCTCGAAGATAAAGGAATTTAAGAAATGGAGGGGTTCATTGCAAGAAAGAGGTGTGGACGGTGTGGACTATGCGAAAGAAAAACATATAGTATTTTCCCTCAGCGAAACTTGAAGTCGTGACTTTTGTCCCTTCTAAACGCTAGTTCAGTATCATGCATCTTTCACTTGAAGGTCGAGTTACAAGTAAATTACAGGTTTTCCACCGCCGAAGAGGTTAAAAGGCTTAAAACGATGCTCCATTCGTTCCACGTCAGCATTTGAAATGTCTGCTAGCGGAAAACTTAAAAACGGTAGCACAAATCATTTTAGAGGATTTCCCGGCCACAGTGTATCAATTTTGAAAAGGTGGTTTGTGGGCATCTTATGTCATCTTTAAAAAAACAGATTTGTTAGCACAGTGTGCTCGTGTTTGACATGTTTCTATATTTTTTTTGCCATCTTCAGCTGCATTCTCAGGTGTCTCTAGGTGGTCGTAAACAGCCACGCCCAAATAAGATACCCAATAGTATTTTGGTCGCTGCTTGTGTTCCAACTGGTCTTCTCATATTTTAAAAAAACACATCGGAAAATTTACACAGAAACAAAGAAGAATTCGTTGTGGAGGAAACCGAAGAGGCTTGAGCCAATAGCCTAAATCCGGAACAATTCTATGAACTTCCAACCAAAGTGGTAGTATCAACTCTCTGATTAATCCATTGATGTGGGTAAAACAATGTCACAAACCCCCCATGACTGTGAATGGTAACCATACCACCTATCAAAATGGTGATGACAGGGGGATGGTGCAGATGGCATTGTTTTACCCACATTCATCATTTCGTAACGATAAACCGACGCTGGGTCTACCCAAACCCTGGAGAGATCTCGAGAGCCTCAGCATTGGCATTGGCGTTCTTCGCGTGCCGCTTGCGACCCTTGCGGTGCGATTTTTCCTGCGACAGGGGTCCATCATCAGTGTCTGAATGTCGTGGTGAAGTACCAAAAAAAGTGAAAGTAGAATGGAATAATGGTGATCAATGGTGACTAATGGTAATTAATGGTGATTAAGGGTCTAATTTTGAGTACTGGTGATTAATGGTGATTATTGTGATTAATGCTGATGAATGGTGAGTAATGGTTATTTGTGGTGATTAATGTTGATTGAATGTGATTGATGGTTTCTAAAGAAGTGGTTGGTGTCGGGATACATCCGTTCCATTCCGTAAAACCTCCAGGCAATCGTTCAACATGCCTTGTCCGAGGGGCATTGTGTTCAAACGTGAGAGTGCAGACTGAAAGCACCAAAAAACCAATCCAACGACAATCACAATTGCCAATTTCCAGAAATTGGTCGAATAATTGGGGGAAGGTTGGTCCTCATTATATGCTTCAAAACATCATCATATACTGGTGTCCAGAAACATATTTTTCCTGTTTTTCTATCTGGGGTCTCTCCGAGACACTCCTTGGGTTGCAAGGGGCAGTTGGACATGTCTTCAAAAGCCTCGAAATCCACCTGTGGCGTAGGCGTACGCCCTGGATGTGGTTCACCACCAACGAGTTGGGGAGTTGGGTCAAAGCGGGTACTGAATGGTACCTATATGGAGGTTTCCTAAAATGGGGGGTACCCCCAAATCATCAATTTTTTAATAGGAATTTCCACTATAAACCATCCATTTTGGAGTACCCCCATTTATGGAAACCCCCTGTATGTGCCCAGAAAAAGAACATTTTTTGTCGTAAACATTCTCAAAGCATGTATTTTCAGTGTAACATTTGAAGGCAACATTAGAAAACCATAGTTTTTGACCCTGCAATAACGTACATGTTATTGTCAATTTTGCTCTGCTCACAAACCAGCCCTGAAAAGCCACAGCTTTTGGCCCTGAACTTTGCTGACAGTATTGGGGCAATGCCAGGGTCAGACTGAGGTACCTCCAAGATTAGATGTTGCAAACACATTGAAAATCATTGAAATACTATAAAATACTATTTCACGAAAATCTTGGGAGGTCGATAATTTTATAGTAATCTAGGCCATAGCCGTAGCCACATGAGAAGTGGGAGAAAAATGGTGGATCACCAGGACTCCCAACGAGACATTGTAGGGGGGCACCTTCAACCGGGCCACGATAAGAATTTCTTTGGATCCAATGATGATTGGATTCCATTGAGCAGTATGCTAAAATCGCCATTGGAAGATGGCTTTGCTTCCTTGAATGGAGGAACATAGACTGTTCGGTGACTATATGGTTTATATGGTTGTTTACTTTCTATCTCTGAGATGTGGATTTGTCCACTTAAATGGGTGATTTCCTGTAATGGCTGAGTGGCTAAGATGATTTTCTAAACCACTGGAATCTTCGACAAACCCATATAAATATGTAATCACTATACGTTGACCCTCAGTTCACCCAAAAAAATGTCTTTAAATTGCAAATTTTCGATCAATACAATTTTGCATGGGACAATTGACGGTCAAGGCCAGGGTATCTTGTATATAACATATATATATATAAATACATACATTTAGTTATTCAATGTTATTCATGTATTGCTGTAATATTCATATGACATATCTTTTAACGGTGACACCAATTTTCCATCCCATCCAGTTCTCCAAATCATCCAGGACACGATCTTCCGTGCATTTTGATCTGCGTTGAAGGTCACCAAGACCTGCCGTCGCACTTCGCAGACCTCGAGAAGAGCCATCGCTGGGCAAAAACCGGGTCCCTGATCACTTACAGTGATATAGTACATGTTAATATATATATATACACAGTATGACGGATATGTGCTGCTGTCAGTTTGCGTCGGCAGGAACATTCTTGCTGCCCATATTGAATAGTTCCTGCCTGTCGCCCAAAACAGGGGCTAGATTCTGGATCAAAAGTGTGGGTTTTTTCGCGAGCAACGTGGTTCGTTGGGAATAAGGGATTTTTAGAACACAAGGTATGACCCTGACCCCTTCCTTGCCGGTAGCAGCTGGGAAGGAACTTTGACATTCAGGCGCTTTGTGGTAGGTTAGATCCGAGCAGATCAAGCAAAAAAGAAAGTGGACACCAAATTTCTGAGATGACCCAGGAACGGAGTTCGTCCGAGCCGAACTTGCTACGTGAAAATTCTGTTGCCAGAGTGCAAAAAGTGGTCCCAAAAATGCGACTTGATTTCTTCGTGCTGTTTTTCCATGCGTTTTAGAGGCGAAGACGTCAAAACACACGTAGGACATGTTTGGACATATTTGGGCGCAAGGTTGAGTTTGTCAGAGTTTGTCGGGCGTAGAGCTTTACAGACCGCGTAAAGATTTTTACCAAAAGTGTCAGGTATATTTTTTGTCCAGGGCCAGCTTGAAACTGGAATTCCTTACCGTTCTGCCACTCCACCTGGTTCAGTCTTAGGCATTTTGGCAAGCCTTATTCCCTCCGAACCAATAAGCTCGTGAAAAAAAACAAAAAAATGTGGCCACAATACCAAAATTAGTAGCCCAGCTTCCGAATTTGTGGCCCAATTTGGGGCCCATGGTATATGCGTTTTGCCTTCTGCAAAGGGCGCGTTGAGCTGCGACAGGTTGCATCTTTCATTCAAAGATTCCTTGCGTTTGGTGCCAAGATGCTCGTTTCACATGCAGGGTAGGCTGTGAGGGAAGGAGAAAAGCATGCAGGCCCACAGCCCCAAGAGTGGGGCCCAAGAGTGGGCCCGCGTAGCAGCGCAAACCAAAGGAATGCCCGTGCGGTTGAACGTTGACAGCCACAAGCAATGCAAAGACATTTGTACAGCCAGCGGCAGTGTACAGGACCTGGGCGCAACCCCCGGCACCACAGACATCAAAGTTGACTTACTTCCACACTCTGCAAAGCAGCTACACCAGGAAAGCAGCAAGACTGTGTGTGGGTGGCAACATTGCTTCCTGGGGAGCGGGGCCATGTTGCGTGCGCGTATTCACATACATCACGCGGAAGCAGCGTTAAATTCGCAATTCGTGTTGCCTTAGCCGCAAAACTACTAAGAATGTGCTCAAAAGCTACTAAGCACGGTGTCACATTTCGCATTGGCTTGGCCACAAAGCTACTAAGAATGCGTTCAAAAGCTACTAAGGACGATTTCGCAATTCGTACTGGCTCGGCCACAAACTACTAAGAAAATGCTCCAAAGAATAAAAGAAATAGTATGTTCTTCTTTTCTTCAATTTTGAGGGAAACTCTTAGTAGTTTTGCGTCCAAGCCATTGTGATTCGCAACTCGTGTTTTCGCGATATGATTAGTAGTTTCGCGTCCAAGCCATTGTGATTCGTACCTCATGCCTTAGTAGGCCTTTTGCTAAGGCATTGGGGGCGCTTTTTCTCAAGGCCTAGGTAGGCCCAAGGCTCGGGCATGTACCCTCGGAGTATATATAATGCGTCTTTTCCAATTCTTTTCCAGGCTCCTCAAAGGGGTGCCGAATGGTTTTGGTGGTTCTTTGATTTTACAAGGGCTTCCCATATAGGCATCCCTTACCGAAATCTATATTAGTCCGGCAAGTATGCAATCCAACTATCATACCCTGAAATGGTGCCATGGAATGCCATGGAACACCACAATTACTTTCACTGGCCAGTTCGTAGTGGTGAACACTGTCATGCAAATTTCAGATTTTGACACACACACACAAATGACACGTTTTTCGAACCCTGAAAACCACCCGAAACCTTGCTAAGGGGTGCCTAATGGACACCTCCTTAACCCCAAATGACACGCAATGACACGTAATCACACGCACTAGTTGGCAGGCTTTAAAAATCCAAGGGTGCTTAAGGGTGACCCATACTAAGGGGCGCCTATTGGGCACCCCTTACGGGGTGCTGGCAATATATGATGTGGGTGAAGCAAGTGACTGATAATCCCGCTTAAGCATACTTAAGCAAGGACCCCGCAATAAGATGCAATAAGTGTGTAGCTGGTCAATAACCTTTTGAAGTGGAGGTTGTTGCTCAACACGCAATTTTGTGGGTACGGCTCAAAAATTGTGTACTTTCAGAATGGAGTTGTTGGCTGAAGGCTGAAGAAAATGATTGGTCGAAGGATAAATCGACAGGAAAAATCGACAGGATAGCACGTTTTTCTACCCGCAAGAATAGGGAGCTTCCTGTAAATTTTGTCCTTCAACCAATTCTTGGAATTGGGTTCTGATAAATCTACCTGGGAAAACAAATCGGCAATGAAAGTAGATGACATATCCAAAGGAAAAATGTAATAAAAATGTGATTTTCTGTGGCCGCCAACAATTAAGTTGTTCCTAGATTGGACTCCTGAAAATTGTGGTGTTCCACTCTTTATGAATGTACTGTAATCTACATATGCGTTCCAAGTCGGGTCGATTTTCCGGGTGTTTGGTGGTGATAACCCCCCTGTTCACTACAGATCCACACTGCCATTCCACCGAGAGGCTCTCTTGACGGTCACCTAAGTGGTCGATGTGCAAAGCAAACGCCTCAAATTGGATGTGTCTTAAAATGGTGTATAAAGCTAAATTATGCCAAATTGCAATTTTAATGGGGACATTTCTCATGAACCTGTGGGTTTGGGTTTTCCCAACATTTTCAGACCCAAATTGGGTGTGAAGTCAAGTTTCTTACGTGAACTCATGTCCTTGGGTGCCCTAGTTACTCTTTTGGACATATCTTCGCGGCACTATCTCCTGCATCTCCTGGCAACGGGATTAGTTTGGGTACTTCGTACTTTGAAAACAGAAACTGATCAACCGAAACTGATCACATCACACTCAACATCCTCAACCGAAACTTGTTTGATGCAGCCTCGACAAGTTTTTGATATGCTGCAGCTACTACCATAAGGGGCATCTTTGAAGATCAAGAAACGAACATCTCTCTCATTATGCAAAGCCGCTTGCTGAGAATTTTGGAAATCTCTGAAAACACGTGCATCATTGTTCATCCATTTCTATTAGCTCACATCAGGTCAGAACTGTATTTTCTCAAAATTTCTGGCGGTTTCACAATCCAAGTGGCACTCATCAGTTTCTTCTGCGTCTTTGAGACGTAATAGCACTGCGCTTCGACGCGTACCCAAGGCGGCAAGCCCGGCAAGCCCGGCAAGCCTTCAATGGCCTCCAACAGCGGCCATAGGCGGTGGAAAACCACCTGCAATGGTATTGGGGATGGTTTATTAATGTTTATTATTGGCTTCACCTGTAAGTGTGTTGAAATTTCTGTTGCATCCGTGAACATTTCTGTTGGTCAAGAATTAAAAGCCCGAGTTGAGGAAGAACAATGCCGGGGCTAGCCACCCTACGCTTGTGGTCCTTGAGATTAGCGGCTCGGCTAAGAGCCCGTTTACCAGCAATCCCGACCTCATCTTGCACGGCAGCTGAATCGGTCGCTTCCTGACGACATGGCACAACGGAGCCAGATTCGTGTGGCAGTCGTTTGGAATGAATGTAGGTCATTCATGGTCATTCCACTATGGGATTCATGAAAAATGCACATAGAAATCTCAAAATCGAGTTGATTCTTCCCAGCAATTTCTGGGTAAACGATCCAACTATCATCAACTATCGATGGATCACCTGAGTATGGGATGAAGCTAATCACCTATGGTTGTTAGATGTTACCCTCCTATAAACGTTTACATGTGGAAAACCCGCAGTGAATCTATATTACCATATGATGTTCTTAGGGAAACCATGGGTTTTCAACATCCATATTACTTTACACTAAGGTAAATCATATGAAATCTGGTGTTCACTAACTTAAATATATAATCCCGTCTCAATGATAGGTTTGCTACTAACATTAATATGATATTAATGATGTATGACACCCGCAATAAGGGACCCCCAAAATGAGGAGATCCAAAACAAAAATCCATGCTTTCGTTCGGGGGGCAATTAAGATTAGGAGGCAGGGATTACATGGGATTAATGGGATTATAACCTAAACACAAGATGGATTCAGCATGGTTTGGGGATTTAAAATGGGAATTCAAATGGGAATTTAACATACTTTAATGGATCTTCTATGATCTTCTGGGGTTTTTTGTCGATGTTTCTTGGGCCATCGGGGTTGCAATCACTGCACCGTTTCCTTGCCTGGGCCTCCTGCCCGAGAAGCTGTGGATTGGCTTGCAGCACGGCCACAATTTGCCGATATTCCTCTGCCAAACCGCAAACCTCCGGTGAACGAGCACGTTGCGTTCACCAGTTAGGACCGTGGAAGATGATCTTCCAATACGCGTTGAGAATGCTGCGATGAATAGATCTTGTATTGTCAAATTGTCAAATCCAGAGTTCACCAATGGGGCAAATACAGTATACACATGTACATACAGTATACATACAGTATACAGTGTATACACCATAAAATGACATGGCTGGGTATAGCTCACAAATTGGTAATGCCTCACCTCATCGGATCATCCGGTCGGAACGACTTCTTCGTGATGTCAGTGATGTCAGTGACGTCATGGACAACGAGCAACCATCGAAATGGAAAATCCACCATTTATAGTATGTTTTCTCTATTTTTTAGCCTCCATTTATAGGTGGTGTTCCATGGTGTTCCCATTCAAACCTCCATTTCGTTCGAAGATTTTCCAGCCATGTTTGACACTGGAGGCTACAACACAGGATTGGTACTTCGACCACTTCGACCAGGCCTTTGCATGCAAGGCCTGCAGGGAATCTTCCTCTCCTGCCCCTTCCGTCCGGATCCTGGAGATCCAACTGCGAGTTCAGCAAAAAGAATGTGTTCACTTGGTCCAATAAAAACGGTGTTTCAACAAACAGAGATTTAGATGTAAGACCAATTTCATTTGATGTGTGATCAAAAAAATGTGTTCGAGCAATTGAAATGATCTTGTAAATTTGGGCTGCTAAAAAGTCATTACCAATCATTCACCATCCATCTCAACTCATCCCTGTATTTTCGTGTATTTCATGTGAAGACCAAAGAGGTCTAACTCTCAACTTATTAGCCCCAAATATATAAATAATGGATAGTTGCATACCCAAAGCAATACTGTAACCCGCAAATTACCACAGATGCTGCCATTCGTCGGTGTTTGGAAGACACTTCTGTCTATTAAAAATTGGCGATGTTCAGGGACTATTGTTGATACCATGAACTTGACCAGCCTGCCCATACCTATTGGCTTGTTATCTGAGTAAGAATCCCTTATCAAGTGAGTACAACAACTAAGCTTACATTCCCATATCATCCCCATATATGGGTCTGTTGAAAAATAGGGGTTCCCTATTAACCACTGTTCAAGCATAATCTTCCCGATCGAAATGCCAAGAAGCGTATATGTTATAGCATAATGTATGTTCAGAGACGCGAACATTGAAATATATTTGAATGCCTTCAATTCCTCAGAAATTCTTTGTTCAACCCCCATTTGGGATAGATAAATCCCATTAAATCCCATTAAAACACCATTACAACACCATCAAAACACAATTTAAGAACCGTTAAGACACCATTAAAGCACCATTAAACACAATGAAAACACCATTAACACACCATTTGCGGCAAAACCCCATCCCCAGCCGGTTTCCAAAAAGCCAAGGCTGCGGCCGAAGCAAGGTCCGCTCCACTTCGTTCAGATCCGCGGCTAATCGATGAAGTCCCGACTGTATCAAGCGTTGCCTGGTAGCTACCATGGAAACCTATAGAAATCCAACAAAAATAGATGGTAGTATGAGCTTCGTATTACCAAATCATGATAAATAATTGCTATATTGCCAACTTAGTTGTATTCTGGTGTATTCCAGTCATTTTCGGCAAAAGTAGGGATTTATGGTAATAAGTAGTATTACTAAATGGGTTTTGTTGCAAGACATGGGATATGGGACATGATATAGGAAAAATTAGTAGGAACAAGAAATAGCATCCAAGACATACCACATACAAAACATGGCTAAATCCACTGCAAATGGAGTGTTTAAAGGAAGCCATGCTTGATCACCGGAGTGTGTGTCTCCTGCAGTAATTCTAGTCACTAATTCTCAGGATCGTCCAAGTCCCACAGAAAACGGGGATTGTATCTTCTGGTCTAATGGATCTCATGGGTATCGTGATTATGGTGGGGTTGCAATGGAGTATGCGTATGCAATAATGATACTACAATGGCCTAAGAATGAGGGTGTAAACTCAATAATCGGGTTCTTGCATGAGAAATCCTCATGAATGGGGACAGAGTATCAGAGTTTGACCTGCAAATTGTGGTCATTTTCTGATGCTTTGGTGGATAGAAGTGGCATCATGACATTTCTCGAATGGCAGAAGTACAGAGGAGTACAGCGCTTTCCAAGTTCCCAAGCCCCTGCATGGTTTGGCATAACAATGGTTAGTTGATGTTAGTTGATCATTGAGGGGGATAAATCATGATAAATCATGATAAATCTCCCAGAAAAACTTCCGAAATCGTAGGTTAACTCAGTTAACTCCCCAACCATAAACTCCCTGAGGTCCGAGAGGCTGTTTCGTTGCGAGGTTCCTGGGGTGGTCACTTAGACCTGGCTGAGCCACGTTGCGGATTTCATGGTGATTTCATGGTGACTTGATGGTGACTTCATGAGATTCAATGGTGATTTAGTGGTGATTTCATGGGGATATCATGGGATTTAGTGGGATCTAACCTACTCAAATTGCCTTCACTAGCGGTGACCAGAACTATCATCTCTTTGGGGATGTCATATCAACTTTCATTGCCCACTGTTGCTGGGTGATGTGGGTAGTGGAGGCTATGTCTAATTTCAATGGGGAAAATGGGGGGTTTCCATAAATGCGGGTAATGGATGGTTTATAGTGGAAATTCCTCTTAAAATGAATGATTTCGGGGGACCCCCATTTATGGAAACCCCCAAATGATGATTAAGAATGGATGTCTGAATATGTTCAGAAAACCGACTCCAAAATTCCAATGGTTTAGACTTATTTCCTCGCACAAATCACGCTATGTTAGGGGCAAGTATCCCGATCTCAAGTTGAAGTTCAATGATAACCCGCTGTAAACCATCGGGGCATTATCCTTGTCATTTGTTTAAACAGGAAATCATCCTCCTAGGCCTTAGTTACCTTAGTCGTGGCTTCTGCTTCAGGGAAGAGCTTGTGGAGTTTTCAAGTCAGTTTCAATTATTGTTGGTATGGTTATGTATGGTTGGTGAATGCTGGTGGGTAGAAAACCTTGGATCTGGGATGTTCATGACCGACTGTAGATATTGGTGGATTGATGGCCGATCGCCCAAGATCTTGGCATCGGTATCGGGCAAAGCAGGTCTGCGGGACAGTTGTCTGGGAGCCATCCTTCAGCATCTTTGGAAGGAGTTCCCTCACCTAAGTTTCATCAAAACTGCGGGTTTCAGTTGCCAATAATTAGGTAGGTCGATAAATATGATACGTGAATAGACAGACAAATGAATACACAGATCGACCAAAAGGTAGAGAGATAAGCGTAGATAGAGATAGCTAGATAGTTAGACAAAGATATAGAGGGAGAGAGATGGGTTCGAAGGTAATTGGAGAAATTGATAGAGATGGATAGAAATAGATATTTTTCAAACATGTATAGTCAATCAATTCCCAAATCATATCTCCTCGTCATCGTCGTCGTCGTCATCATCATCATCATCATCAATGGATTATATCCTCAGCCATGATTTAACGAACACTTTTCAAAGATGCTCTCAGCTTCGTCTCATGGCCTGGGAAAGTGATGTGGAAAACCCCATTGGTTTCCCGAAGGAAAAATTCATCGACATTCATGGTTGATGTTCCAAAAATCGATGTAAGATAAAATCCACTCGGGTTTTCTTTATATGATCATTTCAAAGCAGTATAATCTTAGTATATGGTTTCATCTGATCCTAACTTTCATAATGACAGTTCTCACGGCCACCTCTCAGCTCCGCACTGTCTTTGGGTCTACGACAAAGAGTCCAACCGCTATAGTGACGGAGGATCACCTCATTTTTTTCGACGCACGGTGTCGGGTCGGGTATTTTCAAATAGTTTAGCAGACATCTTCATTTCTTGCTTGGGTGGTGGAATATGTGTTTACACATACTGTAAATAAATAGAAGTACATGTATATCCATTCGTACTAATTCGAAGAAAAAATGTAAACCATGAAAGTTCCAAAAGTACCCAGTGAAACTTTACCAAACAATTTGCATGTTCCAAACGGTTTGAAACCTCTGCCCATCTGTCCTCGAAATTCGACCCTGGATTCTTTCTTAGATCTATCTATCTGGTTTGTCCAAGATTGGGATGGCAATTTGACTGGGAAAAAGGATGGGAAACCATTGGATTTCAGGGAGTTCCCCAAAAAATTTGGACAAACCATTTTTTTTTCTCTAATTGAATTGATGATAAGTCATGGTAAGTGGCTTACATCCATGCGGAACCCTAGTAACTTCAAACTTATTCACCACCATGAAATCATCTGGGATCCATTGCATATCGCCCCACCAACCGACCAACCATTGGGTTCACGACTTCGAATTGGTCACCCTCCTTACATTGCACACTTTCGGACTCATCTGCAGCATAGTCCTGCCAGGCAAAACCAAAGTGTTAAGGGTTGTAACTCAGAGATCCTAATCCCTTCCCCTGTTCATAGTAAGCACCCCACAGCAACCATGGTGGATGTAAGGAATGAAACCACATATTTGGCACCATAGAATAGGGGTGTTTAATGTGATTTGGTAATAGGGCTTAACAATGTAGTTGGCGAGCAAATGTCATTTTTTATAGGTCATGTTGTTTGTGGATATCTCGGTTGTGGCCGGATATCCACCTATCCAAATTAGTATTATCCATGGTGACTGGGCCATCAGCCACTTAGTCACTGGGATGCTTGTAGAGTTGTTGTGTCCGACACTGGGAAATCCCCACGTAGTTTGAGATTTATAGCGGCTTATAGCCACTTGGCTAAAAAAGTTCCCAATATCTTGGTTGCAATTCAAATACATCTTACTTAAAAACCCTATATCTTAAGATCCAAACATTCCTTAGGAAAAAAATGAAAAATATCCCGGCAAGAGGCCCCAAACAGTGTGTGGGAGTGGGAGGATAATGTATGATAATGTGGATGATGATGATGATGATGGTGGTGGTGATGATGATGATGATGACTATGATGATGAGGACGATGATGATGACGACGATGATGATGCCGACGATGACGACGATGATGATGATGATGGTGATGATGGTGATGGTGATGGTGATGGCGATGGTGATGATGATGGTGATGATGATGATGATGATGATGATGATTAGGATGAGGATGAGGATGAAAATGTTGCGGACGATTGTGTTGAGGATGATAATGTTGCGGAAGATGAGGTGGAGGAGGATGATGTGGAGGATTATGATGTTGAGGAGGCTGAGGATGAGGTTGATAATGTGGAAGATGAAATTGAGGATGAGGTTGATAATGTGGAAGATGAAATTGAGGATGATAAGGTGGAGGAGGATGATGTTCAGAAGGAGGAAGATGAGGATGTTGAGGATGAGAATGTTGAGGAGGATGATGAAAAGGATGATACTGTTGCGGAAGATGAGGAGGAGGATGTTGAGGAGGAGGAAGAGGATGAAACTGAGGATACTGATGCCGAGGAGGAAGACCGATCCCAAGACCGCGCTGCGTGTTTTGTGCGAGCCTGCGCAATCCAAATGCAGTTCAACATTTCGCAAAAGCCACTTTATACGGAAATTCACCGGTAAAGTGCCGCAGACCAGAATGAGCCCAGAACACGGACACATACTTTGTGCGAGCCTGCGCAGTCGAAATCCATCTCAACATTTCACACAAGCCACTTTATACGGAAATTCACCGGTAAAGTGCCGCAGACCAGAATGAGCCCAGAACGCGGACACACACACACACACACACTAGACAAGAATGGATCATTATATGATCCGGCAGGAACTGAATCCTGTAACATGCAGACTAGAAATGAAACATAGGATCGTCATGTTGATGACCAAAAATTCTGCCGCTGAAACTGTAACGACGTAGTGGACAGCGTGTTCAACAGTTAAAAACTATCTGCAGGTACACAACTGGGCGTCCCCCGTTGCTTCCCCTTCAGTGACATAGCTTCGTTGGGCAAGGTAGTCACTGAAGGCCTTGCCCCCCTGCACTAGATTTAAAAAGGGAGAGGACAGAAGGAAGAAAAAGAGAGAAGTTTTACATCTATGTAGATGTTACACACACACACACTAGACAAGAATGGATCATTATATGATCCGGCAGGAACTGAATCCTGAAACATGCAGATTAGATACGAAACAATGACCCATTTCAGAAAAAATTGGCAGGTACGTCACGGTGATCAGCCGTGATATCACAAGCATTGGATAGGTGTCTTCGTTGGCACCTGACCTATCCATGCTCCAGGTGCCCCCTGCATTAAATTTAATTTAGAATTAGAAAGGGAGAGGACAAAGGAAGAAAAAGAGAGAGAAGAAGTTTTACATCTATTCAGATGTTACACACACACACCCGGCCGGAGCCGGGTCAACCCTGAAAGGCAAGAGGAAGAAAAAAGCGGACACACGAAGGGCAAACGGCCAAAAACAGCGCAGGGGGGGGAGGGGAACAGACGGACCTCCGGAACCAACCTACACGGCGAAACGGACCTGAACAAAACAGCGCACACACCTAAACCCCACGACACATTACGGAGAGGCACGCGGGGAAAATTAGGGACCAAATGGGGGACTAGTTGATGACCGACAGGAAAACCAAAACAATTAACTAAAAACAGGATTCAGTTCCTAAATGCCTAAAGGTCGTGCGATTATTCCCTGCACCGGGACCGTGGTCGAGTCAAGCCCCAATTGGCATAAACGGCTTTCAAGTTCCAGCGAATTAGGTGCACAATATGTTTCACCTCACCAGACAACCAAAAGGAAAAAGACCACACCTGAAAGACGTGTGCCTGCCTGATTCCTGTATCAAATGCTGTTGTCATGGACCGTCAAAAGCAGCTGCGAAAAAAGGAGGTTTCTGGAGTTCGGCACGGCTTCACAATTGAAGAAACGCATCGGCGGGTAATCCCTGGGACATCCGGAGCAGCAGGAGAACTCAAAATGGCTGACAAACCGTAAGGCCAGCTGTTGCAGTTTACTTAGATGAATTACCAACTCAAAATGTGTTAATTCGGCAGTCAGGACAGTCGTCACTCACCCTAAAGAGGGTTGCCTCAAATGGCTCCATGGCACCATGTCGGAGCCACCATGGAAATCACACTAGACAAGAATGGATCATTATATGATCCGGCAGGAACTGAATCCTGAAACATGCAGATTAGATACGAAACAATGACCCATTTCAGAAAAAATTGGCAGGTACGTCACGGTGATCAGCCGTGATATCACAAGCATTGGATAGGTGTCTTCGTTGGCACCTGACCTATCCATGCTCCAGGTGCCCCCTGCATTAAATTTAATTTAGAATTAGAAAGGGAGAGGACAAAGGAAGAAAAAGAGAGAGAAGAAGTTTTACATCTATTCAGATGTTACACACACACACACACTTTGTGCGAGCCTGCGCAGTCGAAATGCAAGGCAACATTTCACAAGAGCCACTTTATACGGAAATTGACAGGCAAACGGCTCGCGCCCAGAGTGAGCACCCTGATCAAGCACCGGCCTTTACACTTACCGTGAGAACCTCTCAGTGTGGACACACTGTTTGGGGAAAAACCATGTTTTCTAAGAGTGTCCTTTGAGGAAAATTAGATGGTCCGATTTGGTACATTATTTATGATTATCTACCAATATACAATTGGTTTTCATATATATACCATATGATCATCTACCATTCTCAATGAAAAACGTTGGTTTGGTTTACCATACATTATCATATGTTTATCATATTTTTTACCATATGTTTACCATATAAATATATCAATAATAATATATATGTACCATATATTGCTTGGTTTTCATGGGGAGAAAGCCTGAAAAAAATCACAGCGTGCCGGCCACCGCCTGCAGTGCCACTGCCAGCTCCGTCACAGCAGTGGCTGGGACCTCGGGGAATGGTGATTAGGGATTTATATATAATAAAATATATATATTTATACTGGTTGGTGGTTTCAACCATCTTGAAAATATGAAAGTCAATGGGAAGGATTATCCCATATATTATGTATATATATATATATCTGGTTGGTGGTATACCTACCCCTCTGAAAAATATGAAAGTCAGTTGGGATGATGACATTCCCAATATATGGAAAAAAAACAAACCACCAATCTGTGTATATATATATAATATACATATATATTCTATATCATATTCTACGATGTGGGGCCCCTCAGTTATAAGTTGGTTTATAAACTCCACTAACTATAGCTAGTATCACAAACCAAGTTATTCAAGTTATTAACCAACTTAGCTATCTAGAGGGCCCCACATTGTAATGGGAATATTATAGGGATCTATTGTTCTTTAAAATGATTAATGGAACTTTTATGATGTTTAATGGTTTATGGAGGGTTTATGGAAATGATAATGAATCTTTGTAAATTAGAATAATTCACTAACCTGAAATAAGGCCATTTGGGGATAATTCCTCACTCTAACCATGATTCCAGTGAGGTCACAGTGAGGTCACTATAGTTTACCCAGATTAATGGAATATAAATGGAATCTTGTGGTTATATATGGTGATTACAATTATAGCTGGGAAAATCAACATATTGATTATAGGGTGATTGTACGGTGATCATATAGTGATGATATGGAAATAGTTCATCGGATAGTGAGATTATCACGGGGAAACCAACCATTCTGATCCAATTCTTGGATTATTGGGATGGTTTTTATCCCGAAAATAGATGGTGATATGTTCTTGATATGTTCTTGATATGTTCTTGATATGTTCTTGATATGTTCTTGGTATGTTCTTGATGATTTCTTGATGTGTTCTTGATATGTTCTTGATATGTTCTTGATATGTTCTTGGTATGTTCTTGATGATTTCTTGATGTGTTCTTGATATGTTCTTGATGTGTTCTTGATATGTTCTTGGTATGTTCTTGATGATTTCTTGATGTGTTCTTGATATGTTCTTGATGTGTTCTTGATATGTTCTTGGTATGTTCTTGATGATTTCTTGATGTGTTCTTGATATGTTCTTGATGTGTTCTTGATATGTTCTTGGTATGTTCTTGATGATTTCTTGATGTGTTCTTGATATGTTCTTGATATGTTCTTGATATGTTCTTGATATGTTCTTGATGATTTCTTGATGTGTTCTTGGTATGTTCTTGATGATTTCTTGATGTGTTCTTGATATGTTCTTGATGATTTCTTGATGTGTTCTTGATATGTTCTTGATGTGTTCTTGATATGTTCTTGGTATGTTCTTGATGTGTTCTTGATATGTTCTTGGTATGTTCTTGATGATTTCTTGATGTGTTCTTGATATGTTTTGATCCCCATGTACCTTTAGCCAGCATCAAATTACGAAGCAATCGGTTATGCCCTCCACATTTCTTAGTTGATGGGTATTACGTACCCCTCCAACTAGCTGCCATTTATGGGTGTTGGAAGACTACTTTCCTCTGAAAGTGGGCAATTCTCAGTGTCTATGTCATGTGAGAGAATAGTGAATAAAATAAACAAATACCTTGAGATAGTTCGAATGGACTTTGATTGAAAGTTGTTTCATGTTGTATCCTCCAGTAGTTTAAGCTGGAAAGCGCAGTTGACCACTAACTTCAACAAATCTGACGTTCAAAAATATCCGTTTTTTTTTTAAATATATAGTTGACCTTAACTTCAAGAAAATCTGTGAACATCTATGAAAATCGAACTTGGCGCCCGCACCCAGCCCTGCTGATCATCCTTCACCACCCAAGCCCAGCCGCTGGTCTGCACGATGAGCCCAAGTCATAGTAAAATAGAAATGATGATTTTTACCAACAAATAATAGGTATTAATAAAATATTATAATGATACCTATAATTTAATTAAATAATATAATATAATTTATAACCATATGATGATAATACCAATGATAATCATGATGGTATAGTGCCATATCATATGATTTAATTATATTGTAGCTATCCTGAACTGACAACTTGAAAAGCTAAGAAATATGATATAATGTGAATCCATTTTCTGTAAGTATCATTGAACGACCACCTGATTGCACACTTTTTGGCATCTTTTTGGGGGTTGCTGTCATCTGACATCTCCAACAAAATGGGGCTTTAACAACTAATTTTGGGACTGAACTAATTAAAAACGAGATTGTGTTTAATCAGCAACAATTTTCGTTTCAGCAACAAGAATGGTGATGTGAATTTGACCATCCACATCTAAATCAGTGAATGATACGTCCCTGATATTCTCCCAGATCTGGCCTCATGAATTGTGATATCCACCTGGCAGGCATTGGGTCTTCAAACATGTTTTCTGCTGATGCGGAAAAACTCAAAATTAAAACCTGCGGCTTCAGGAATTTCTTATTTCTCCAAACCAAATGCTTCCTTTGGCTCTAATGGGTCTAATCTATCTGCAATCTAGAATACACAAACTCGTACCCATTTCATCCCATTTCGTTCATCCCTCCGGAAACAAAAATCCACGGATTGTCTCAGCCAGGCAATTTGTTTATATCCCAGGATCCCGACGGAGAATCGGCCTCTTCCCCAGCTTGCAGCTCGATAAATTGGATGTTCATCTGCGACGGTCACGATATGTCACGATTGACCTATGAAATTGTTTATATTGGACACCAAGAATGGATACGAATAGGTGACTTATGGATAACATATGGTAACATCAGAGATCTTTAGAGCAAACCTCTTGCCAGCTAATTTAGGCCATGGTAAATTTTGCACCAAAATTTGAGGATCATCCCATCCACTCATGGTCGAGGCATCCCTAGCTCTGTTGGACCCATCGAAGCATGTTGGCCATAACTTGGATGTAAATCACGATGGACAAATACGGGTGATATAATTAAGGCTTATATCAATTTATATCATACATCCGTATATCTCCAATTATATCACCATTTTTGCTGGGGTAAGTAACCCAAATTCATGTGTGCTAAATCCCCGAATTTCTGATGATTTTTCATGATGAAAAGACTTCAACGCCACTGGGTAGCACCTCCTCGGCCCCTTTCAACTCAGATGCTTTGAAATCTGTCAGGGCCTGTCATTTGCGGCAGGGCAAGATTGCAAAAAAAATCAAAAAATGAGAACGAACATGTTGAGTCAGGATTGAAAAACATATCCTGAGGATTTGATACCCTATATACCTCCTTGGTTGTTCTTTTAATCATGTCGTTGGTTGCTCTTACCTGAAAAGTACGTCATACACATCTAAGGTAAAAATCATGCAGTTGCAGGCAACGGCAGGTTCGCAGCTTCCTAGGAGCTAAACTCTCGGCTGGAAGAGTCTTTGATTCAGAATGCGTCGCATTTAAATATACGGCCCGACGCGACGCAGATTTTTACCGACCCATGCCGAATCTTTGGTGACCATAACCATAGATATCATACACATTACCTTCAGAAGGATAGGAAATCTGTTGAACTATGATGATAGACAATGAAATTTGTGGGTACCCAATTTTCAGACAAACCTATGTAGGGTTTCCTGCTGTTTCGGAGATACTGTTTCCAGCACTTGGTATTGCCATAATTCTGTTTTACTTATAAAAATGCAGAAATCTAAAATCTCTCTCATTGCGTCTCCCAAGCCTTTTGCGATGGGGCATGGGTGTCCTACAGGTAAATTTCCATTTTTTTTCCATGTAAGGGTGCTTCTTGGAATTGGACCATTTCCATATTTTTTTTACATGAAAGGGTGACAACTTTTCTATTGACATGTTTCCATAATTCTTTTTGCGATGGCTACAGTACATAATTTATGGCAACCTTTAAGACTTATGACCCACTGAGCATGGACGATCAGGATCCGAAAACATGTTCAGACAGACCCACATGGAGCCAAATCAAACATTCCGACAGGTCCAAGCTCCTGTCCCGAGCAATGTGGTAGACCATGGGACATCCAATACATTTTCCCATGCCTTCATCCTACTTTTACGACTTATATTGTTATATATACATATAATTATATATATATAATTATATATATATGTGTGTGTGTGTGTTTGATTCTCAAGAAGTTTCAAGACTTGGCATCCCCAACTCCAATGGATTATCATTTTCTCCCTATTTTCAGAGTGGCGGAGCTTTGGGATGGCCGTCTGGTCGCCTTCCCATTGGCATACCACGGATGCTTCTCTCGCTGGGCCTCTGCCTTGAAATTGGGAGATGGGAAGGGTTCTTAAGGGCCCTAAGGCTTATAAGGTATCCTTAGGGCCCAAGGACTGCTAACTAAGGTTTTCATGGAGGTTTAAAGATGTTGATGGGTGCTTCTGGATGTTTGCGTATACATCTACAGTTGGATGGCTTTCAAACCAACTTATAAGTTATAAGTTGGGACTCCGTCTTGTAGCCACCAAATACAACAGGCCATGAATATATCAACGAAGCCAAACGCTGAGGTAAAGTGCTTTAGACTTTTGAAAGTCTTCATCAATGGATAACTGGATCGTCAACAAGCTGCTCTCCGTCAATTGGATACTCCCAAAAAAAGATGGCTTCGAAATCAAAAAAGTGACCCAGCAATCTATCCATCTGTGATTCAACAAAATTTCACCCGTACTATTGGTGACATCCCTATTTAAAAAACAGTTTTAAAACTACCCTCCGGTAACCTAACATATGGAAAATCACCACTTTTGATAGGTAAATCAATTATACATGGGCCATTTTCATCCATTTTCCAGTTCGCAAACTCTTCGTTGACCGGAGGGTAGCTGTAGATCAGCCGGCTACGGCGTAGCCGGCCTCCAAGAGCACCTCGGAAAGTTGGAGAATGATGGTCGTTGCGGCCTCGGCATTTGATGAAAATTGGGTACTCTAAAATCCCATGGTTGATCATTATCTTCCAAATGCTATTGTAAGTATCAGAAATAGGAGGCCAATCCCCCATTTTTAGACACATCCATATCCATTGTGTGTTGGTTCAAGTCCTGTTAAATTGTCCAGCACATCTCCTTAAACTGCTTGGTAAAATCCCGTTGCCCCAACTCCGAAAAATTCTGTTGTACTCCTGAGTCCACTATGTGTATATCCCCATGAAATCCTCATGAAATCCTCATGAAATGGCCAACAAAAAACATGTTAGATCCCCAGTGGTCGGTCAACGAAAAAGGTGTATCGCTGCCGCTCGTCCAGTGACCTGCTTGACCAAGGTCACATGTCGCTGCACCTTCGGGGTTGATGATGGGTTTATGATCCACCAGATGATTGTTACGATGATTATGATGTCAAACATGCTCATTATGATGATTGTCATGATTATAAATTGTGATTATCATGATATGATCCTAATAATCCACATCGTCATGATGATGATGATGATGATGATGATTCTGGATGCTCACGGTCTTACCATGTTTGACACGTTGACCTTCATTTTTCAACACCAAATGGGTCAAATGGGTTGTAGACCCTAATGACTTGACCCATAGCTGGCAGCAGTCGCCACGGGAATCATGCTGGAATCAGATATCCATTGGCAATTAGACATTAGACATGTGATTCTCAAGGAAATGGTCATCCTACTATGATCAGTGTAAGAATTCTGCGATTCCAAATTTATATAAATGGGTATGTTACCATCGTTGGATAGGTACAACCAAAACAAGATCACCGGTGAATAAAATAATCCCTGCCCGCATCGTGATCCCACAGGTTTTTCTGAACCTGTTTCAGCATGGACGGATGCATTCCCATCGCTGAAAGTCACAGAAACTCAGCCGAATCGGATCTAAAGTGACTTGCCAATGGACCCCCATTTTTTAAAACCATAACAAACCCACAACCAAACTTCGGGGCGAAGTTTGACCCACAACCAATCCACCCTCCGGCCTCGGTTAAAAAGGTGGCCTCGGCATCTTCTCCAAAGTTGGGGGGTGGCAATTCCTCAGCGTGGTCCAGGAGCATTGCGATCAGCTTGTCCTGGGATCGATGGGATTGGTTTGGGGATGATAAATGAAAAACATCTCCAAATCCAACTCGGGAGATGCGAAAAGAAGAACAGGGATCTTCTAACCAGTCATCAGCCATCCCAGAGTTGGCTATCAATCACTTCATCCACCATGTTTTTGTTTACATGAAAAGACGTTCTAAATGGATTGATGGGAAAATCCATATGGAAATTGCTAGCCCCATTCACATCCAAGTTTCCTAGTTTCCCATCAGGGAAGTTGGTGTCTTTGGATCTTCATCAAGACTAATGTGGGTAAAACAATGTCATAAACCACCCGTGCGTGAGAATCGTAAGTTTATACCACCTATAAAAATGATGATGACTGGGGGATGGTTTATGGATGTTTATGGCATTGTTTTAACACATTATGGAAAAAACACAAACAAAAAAACAACACCGAAAATCCCACCAGAACCGCCAGCGCTGGATCCACCGTCTCCTTGGGTGCAACTTTGGCATCAAGGGCATCAAAATACTCCAGCCAACGCAACATCTCCTCAGCCAGATTTTGTGTCGAAATGTCTGAGTTTTTTCGGGCAAAAAAACTGGGACAATGGCATATAAACCCAAGCAAGATGGGATATAAATGATATAAAGCTACACCTGATATCTAAGGTGCCCAGTAAACAGAGATTGATATAGCTGAAATCTAAAGGCTCCACTCCCCATGAGAATGGAGATTGCAAGATGATTTGAGGATAAAACATCAGTTCGCCATTGCACGCGCGCAGGGCTCCAAGTTGAAATTTTCGCCACTTTGACGAGATTTCTGCTGGGATTCACTGGACTGGTGTTGCACATCCATCCTGGTCGCATCCGTGTTTCCTAAGTTTGCAGTAAATCTGCCCTAAAAAGTGGTCAGTTTTCTCCATCTTTGGTTATTTTGGTTAGTGAAATCCCTCGTTAACTGGGATCCTGAGGCAAAAACGGGGAGAGGCCAATACTCTAAGTCCGCCAGAGAGGTCACCTGGGCACATGGGGATTGAAGGTTTTTCTTGGGAATTAATGGTGATTGAAAGGTGATTTAACTGTGTTTTAATGGTATTTTAATGGGATTTCATGGGGGTCCATGATGTTTTAATGGGATTTCATGGGATTTCATGGGATTTGATGATGTTGATAGGATTTACCCTCCAGTAAACATACCAAAAGCTATGGTATAGATGGGTTTTTATCGATGATTTGCCGATTGAAATTGGTGATGTTCCATCCAACATGTGTTTAACCGTATATTATTTAATCATTAAAACTTGGATGTCATGCCATATGAACAGGGATATGTGTATATATATATATAACTATTCAGATAACACGATTCTGCTATTTAACAATTAAGAACCGTGGTTTCATGCCATACTGTCGTTGCGAAATCCTGTACCACCTTGGATGAAATCCTATATGGGATGTTTACTACCTATCAACTGGTGCAGGATTTCGCAACCATCCATTGTATGAATAGGGATATAACTATTCAACTATATCTTTCAGGGTTTGTCAAGTTTTGTTGGAGTTCACAATCACTGGAATAATTTCACGTTCAGCATCACCAACAATACTATGATATCCGGGTGGGTTGTAAATGTGGTTTTCTTGGGTGAAAAAAAATGAATTTAGCCATTCAGAACGGGTATTTCATGCCAGAGGAACGGGGATATGTAATTATCCGACTATATCCATATAATATAATATAATATAATATTATATTATATAACAATATATATATATTAAATATATATATTTATAATATATATATATATAATATATTATATATAATATAAACAATACAAAATAATATGCATACAATATAATATATATTATATATAAAATATATAATATAATATATAAATAATACAATATATATACTATAGTTATAATATATATAATATAACAATGTAAATATACTACAACATTTGATATAGATAAAATAAATATAATATGTAATATAGATAGTGTATATATAATATAATATATAAATAATACAATATATATATAGAATATAGTTATAATATATATAATATAATAATGTAAATACACTAAAACATATAATATAGATAAACTAAATATAATATGTAATATAGACAGTGTATATAAAATAAACAATATATAATACAAAATATATAATATATAATATATATATATAATATATAAAATATAATCTATATATATAATATATGAAATATATAATATAATATATATATATACATCCCTCTGTGCCATGGGCAAGTCCCATGGGATTAATGGTTTATGGCCATCCATCCCATGGCGGAATCGAACAAATGACCATTGACCCCTGTGGGTTTGTCCATGGATTATAAGGGAATGGCAATGGGGAATCCAACCATAGAAATTTAGGGTTTACATCTCTCGATTTAGAATCGCCACAGAAACCCCTTCTTGTTCTTGCAATGAAATTCAGGGTTTAATACAAAATCTTCACTTTATCCAATTTTAGGGTGGTAGGGCTCACAAATGAGTTCTGCCGGGTTAAGTTGTTTTCATGGAACATACAAAATGTGGTGGAATTTCAAGAATATACTTGGGGGTGCAGTTTTTGGTTACAAGTGAAATATAACCATAGTATACCATAGTTAGATCATATAATACCATATATATTATATATATTATATGTGATATATAATATAACACTATATATATATATAACTATAACCATAGTTAGATCTTATCCCAACATAGAAATAGTATCTTCTCCCAACTTATGCAGGTTACCACATGTTACCACCATGGTGCCCAGAAAACAAACCGGCCTGCTCGAGTGCCTCGGGACGAGAGTTCTGGATCTCCTGCCGACAAATCTGCGATGTTTTTTTCATGGCTGGTGAGATGACACCAGAACTTATGCTAGAAATGGAGTTTTCACCAACAAAAAAAGGAAAAAAATGAAGCAACATGGATGAGAATGATGAGAATCGGAAGATCATCAGCCCTTAGCAGTAGAAAATTCAGGCTTGGTAGGCTGGGTTGTATCCCTGGATATCTCCCATTTGGAAGGGAGCGAACCGAGGCTGACCTTGCAGAGACGGGCAAAGCAAACTACTGGCCGCCTCGTTTACGAGAGCGCTAAGTTGGCAAACATAACTCCAACAACTATTGTCTATGGTAGATATGTATAAATATATATATATATATATAATATGTATAAATATATTATAGATATATCTATTGCTGATGGGGTTTATAAATAAAAATAACTGGGGGAGTAGCACCTTGTATAATCTTGTATCATTCTGAGCACATCTCGTCGTCAGTCATCTAATTGCCCTGTTGGGGGTTCCTAAAATGGGTGGTACCCCAAGTCACCTATGGTGACTTGGGGATTCCCCTTGACCTAAGAAACCCCCATATGTTCGGGTCAATATGACATGCTTATTCCCAAGTTTGGTGGTTAAAAAATCAGGCATTTGCCGGGTTCATGACGAATTTACTGTAAGATCACCAATCCCCATGTTTGCCGCTTCAAATCCCCATGTTGCCGCTACAGTCGTCAATGTACGCCCAAAAAAAGATGTTTCTTGGTCAAGAAAGACGAAAATACATTGATTTTGCTGGTTACAACCCATTACAATCATCATATTTGGCTTAACGATCTGCAATTTAACTGGCCAAATCCAAGTGCTTAAAAAATCCCTGCTGGCTATCCAGCTCTTGATGCTTCAATCCCAAGTTTTCCATGGTTTTCGCTTCAAATCGGCGCCTCCCAGAGACGCATCCGCGCATGTTCCCCCGAGATCGCGCTGCTTAGGTCGATCTTCAAGGACTGGTGGGGTGTGCCCGTTGTGCCCCCAGAAACTGCTGAAGTGGATACCACTGGGATGTGGTGATATCGGGATATATCGGGATATTTTCTCATCAATTATATCACAATATCGGGATATATGATATCGGGATATTTCATGGGATTATCAATGGGAGTATTTATGATGGGGAAACCACAGGCATACCGAGAATTCAACAGCTGGATTTAAGGAAAAAACCGTTGAAACCAGAGTAGAAGGCGCCAAATTTGTTGGGGCTTCCGATTTTTCCCTTCGAAGTTCATTGAAAATTCATCGGAAAACATGGAAACGCGTGTACGCGTGGAAGCGAACCCCAGATTGCAGTGAGATACTAGACAATGACATATGCTGTGACCCAACATATTATGGTTTTATTATTGTGCATATGGTAACTTGGCAATCTCCCATTTTAAGAAACAATACATTCAATTTCATTGAATCACCAGCAAAAATCACCAGCAAAAATCCCACCAAATGACCATCAAATGACCGGCTTCGCGCCTCCAACCATCGAACCAACTGAGGCTCTGTAAACTGCCCCATCTGCGCGTTTTTTCGTTGACCCAAAAAATGCCGAAAAAAAATGGCAACCGGAGGAAGCTGGTGATCATTTCATTGATCCAAATCTTATCAAATCTTCGCTGATTTCATCATATTTCATCAGTTTTTTGGAAATGAGAACATTTCGAGTCAAATACATTGCAGGTAGTTTGAATCTCTCCAACAGACAATTCAGCAGCTGTGCAGGTTTTGAAATTCAGCAACTCAACTCGCAAGCTGGGCATTCACGGACACCCCGAAGCCCCAAACCTCCGTTCGCGTCCATTTCTTAGGCCCCTGGGCAGCTGAAATCATGGATCAGGCTGAAAAGCACCGGTGGTCACAGGGAAGTGTTGCCTTCACAGTTGAGACCCTGGTTGAACATTGACCGCAGGGAGCCACCCTGAACTGCAGGAAATCGGATCTACGGCCGCCTGATCGGACAAAATCCCAAAACTGCTTCGAAAATCCCAAAGAAAATCATGAAAAACAGAGTTAAGAGAAATCGTGTTTGAATAAATCATACATAGTACTATACGTATAGTATAGTATAATCATAAATACAATACATAGTAAAACATAGTAATCATAGTAACATGATGAGAAAGACCAAAACAAACATCCCGTTTCTTTGATGCGTCCCCAACAGTTCATTCCATCAAGGATCACCGGGACCCGCATCCCGCCTGGGGAAGGGGTTCCAAGGGCGGCACGGCCTCCTGGGATGAACATATTCAGGAATTTATAGCCAAAGTAACAAACTAAGGGGCTATAAATATGGGAATAATATGGGATTCTCTTGGGAACCAAATTAGAAATGCCAACAGAAAAAACTCCAAAGATTCCAAAGCCGCTGATTGACTCAAAAATCACCCATCCCCCCTAAAAATTGGGGGTCATTTGGATGATATTTCTCCACCCAGCGGGAACTACCCCCAAATCCACTGGTTTCCACTGAGGTCCTGTGGGTCTGAACTGCTCGCCTGGCGGACCGTGATGATCGGCCGCCAGAGATCCATCCCAGAATTATGATGTTTACACATATCTAGGAATAGTGTAGATTGCTTGGGATGCTGTTGACTGCATCCCCACTGTTTACCTCACTTTTTTAACTACTCCACGCAAAAGAAGTCGCAATCCCCACTAACCGGGATCAAATCCCAGACAAAATGAGGATTTCTCTGAAAAATTGTCCCAATTGTAAAGGATTCTCATTCGCCATTTACCACAATTGGTGGACAAACCCACAATCCCACTATATCTGCATTGTGATTGTGGTTGGTTGAATTAAGTTGACTTCAAGTGTCTGGCAGAGCAGTTGGCCTGTGAAGTCCCTTCCTCCACTTTTGGGGCGGGCAAATACCTGGCAGGGCTCGCTATCCGCAGCGTGTTGGGCTCCGCATTGGAACCATGGCCCAGCCTGAGATACACTAAAACCCATCAAAAACCCATTCATGTTTACTTGGTTCGTTTACATCGGCGATGTCAGTCCGATTGTCAAAGAGTAAAATATTGAAGTAGCTGCAGTAGCTGTCCATGGTTGGCCCCTTGTCCATGTTTGGAGTCAGCCCTGCCACAGGAAGATCCCAAGTCTTGGAAACCCGTTTTTTTTTTTTTTTTCGACTGGTTCTGGTTGCTTATATCCTGTTCATTAATGTGTTCATTGTTTATAGACGCGCACATGTATATAATATATATTGTTAGTGTTACTATTGTTATTGGTATTATTGTTATTTATTATCGTAGTCATTACTATTATCATTACTATAATTATTATTAATATGATTATTATTATCATTACTATTACTTGTGTTATTATGATTATTATCATTATTAGTTATTATCATCATTATTGTTAGTATTGTTATTAATACTATTATGAATATCATTATTATGACTAGTGACTAGTATTGTTATTATTCATTATTAGTGGTAGAAGCATTACTATTGTGATTCAGATTAGTCGCATTAGTAATATTGTTGGTACTATTAGTATTACTATTACCACTCTTATTATTATTATGTCTTTTTGCACGGTTAGTGTTATTGTTGCCATTCGACATGTTTCAATCATATACATGTATAGTTAAATATAGACTTCGACATATTTGCATGTATGGCGCACTTTGCAGAGAGACTTGCTGCGCAGCCCATGATGCCAAGTCACCTCTCAGAGGTGGCTTCAACGGATTTTTAGTCGATGTAACATGTTCCAACTACTAGGGATGATGAAAAATTGGTGGTGTTTACGTATTTAGTTGTATATACCACCAACACATGTATATCTATATATATATAATTATATATTATACAGTGCAGTGTTATTGTACCTATGTATGATGAGTATTACCAAAAAATGGGAGATATTCACCAACACTAGCTTGCAAAAGTAACATGGTGGTTCCAACACCCAAAATATCGGGACCATTCTTCCATTTTTTTAATGCAACGTAGATGATTGAGACCAGAAGAACCACAGAGTGTTTCCAGTTTGATGTTTTGAAAATGGACCAAAAACATCCAAAAACACGTTTGACGAATGGGTTTGGCCCAAAGCAAAGCTGGATAGCGATGGAATTTTCCCCACCGGCCCCATGGAGGTGATAGGGACCTTGAGTGAAAGGCACTGCCAGAGGCCTTTGCCTCCCCAGGGGTCTGCCATCCTTTTGGATCCCTAAAATGCTGCGGGAGAAGAATCCAAGGAGAATCTAAGGAGAATCTGAACTTGTACCTCTCTAATAAACATATAGCTATTCATAGCTATGGTATAGATGACCCAGGGCCAGTGCGATGATTTGCCGAAGCTAATTTGATGCTGATTCTTCCACAGCGAACTCTTGGTTTACCAGAGAGTATCATAGAGAACTGAGTTTGATATCTCTGGATCTTTCACAGTCATTGCTACTGGGATCTGCAATGACAAGTCACTTATCAACTTGCAGGGGCTACGAGGACAATTCCTAAACTTGTGAACCCACAAAATGGTGATTTCAACCACAAACAGAGAAAGCACCGCAACATACCGCAACCCATAAAGGCCGAAACATTCAATTCACAGAAGCAAGTTGTAGAAACAGGAGAAAAAATACATAGAGAACTTCTGAGTCTCCTCCACTCTTCTCCCCTCTCCCAGTATGCACTGCATTTTCAACCGTACCGTCCAACCCTTTGATGCGGAATCGCTGTTGGAAAGAGTGAGACGACAAACAGCAAACCTCACTGGTTTTACCAGAAGGGTTTGCCACTGGTTTGGGTTAAAAAATTCACTCCTTGGCGCCTTGCCGCAGCTCCAACTCCTTGAACAGTTTTTCGGCCTGGAAAGGTTCACCAATTTTTCAGGGACTTTAAGTCTCAGCTCGCATTTTCCGTGCGATGATACAATCTATGGGAAACCATGGTCATATATGCATGGTACAGTAGAAATATATATATATATATATACATACACAAATAATAAATATATAATATTGGGCAACCATGGTATAAAAAGGTATAAATATGTATATATTATAACAGAATAGCTCATTTCTTGGCTAAGAATCCTCGGGTTGATCATCCTGTGGGTCCATAGGTCCATAACCTATCGAAAGCACCAAGAAATCCCAGAATTGAAGGGGAAGAAATCACGAAAACCATGTCACCAAGAAATGGTGAAAACTCGTAAAAAAAACTTGTTTCAAACCATAAAAACTGTGGTAAAATCCATAAAAAAACTGTGATAAAAGAAATCAAAACTATAGTAAAATGTACATTCTATAGCTTCTTGATGCGTGATATGTTTCGCTGAAACCAACCCGATCAATGGCCACACAGTAGCCCATCAGAATCTCCATGTTCCAGCCTCAGAGTCACCTTTGGCTTCAAGGTGCTTGGCCAAGTTGGAGAGGGACCTAGGCTCCGACAGCAGGACGGTGGTACGGCAGCCGTACCAATAATGGTGGGAAATGGCGGTACCAGCACAAAATGCAGGTATCAATCCACACAGCATGAAGCAACTTGGAAAGCAACTTGGAAATATGGAAACAACATTTGGCAACGGCTCCAGTAGTGCTATGTCACCATCGCTGGGTTTTATATCCTAATTTTCATCTCCGAAGATCCACACACCATCCCAGCACCAGAATCATGGACTTTGGGCTCAAAAACAGATCTCCTTTAGACCCAAAAAAAACAAAAAGTTGATCGATATTGTCCTATAATTCATGACACTTCTATCGCAATAAAATAAAATGTTGAGCCCCAGCCATATATTGATATCTCTTGTGTACTGCCCAATCACTGTGACCGTGATCACCAGAAGAACACCAGAAAAATGGACGAGAAACTGTGGAAAGTGAAGGTTACTTTTCCAAGGGGACTGCACTGATATAACACATCAATCTTCAACACTGAAAAAAACAGGTTTCTTCAGTAAAATTAACTATGGGGCTTAGCAACAACCAAATTATACTGGAAGAACTTGCACCGCTGGCCCTGAAAGCCTTGACAAGTGAAACTTGGTCATTGGAAAATACAAAATCGATATCTGCTTTTGGAAGAATTTCCTGAAAGCTTCATGAAATTCCTGAAAGTGATGATTCTTCAAAGCAATTTGATAGTAACCCCCAAAAATATGTTCATTCAAGTTTCGTTACCATATGTTTACCATATTTTTGCCATATTTTTCTTAGGGTGGTTTAAGGGGCTCCCTTGCTGAGGGCCTTCTTGCTGAAATTTTCAGCTGGGAAAAGCCAATGGAAAACCCAAAGGAATCTAAAAAATCTTTCTGCACATGTGAGGGTTCTTGATGGGATTTTTATTGATATTTGCAGGATTCTTACTCTTTGGATGGATGAAGCAGTCAGTGGGTGCCTGCCAGGGACTTCCTTCTGAGAAAGGCATTTTGGATCAAAGACTAGATGGCAGCATGCCCACGCGCAAAAAAAGGGTGTGCCATTTTCCAGTTGATATCTTGCTGGCTGCTTTCCCCATTTTTGGGATTTTGGTGGGGATGGTCAGGATTGGCTGGGGGTTGGCCCATTTTTGAGATTTTGTTAGGTTTTGTTGGGATTTTTCTAGGGTTGTGTGGGATGTTGGGGTTGTGTGGGATTGTAGTTGGGTTTGTGTGGGGTGTGCTAGGGGTTGCTTTGTGTTTTCTGTGGGGTTTTGTTGGTGGTTTTGTGGTGTTTTGCTGGGCTTTTCTGGAGTTCTGCTGTTTTGGTTTTGGGTTCTGTTAGTGTGTGTGGGTTTCTGTCAGCTGAGGGTGGTGGTGTTGTTTGGATTTGGGTTGGCAAAAGACAACTCTACAAATGCTTGTGCAAAATTTGATTGTCAAAACCACAGGGATTTCCTGGGAAACTTTGAGGCTGGAGTGGGCTTGAATGGGATTTCACTGGGGTTCCATGATATTGTGTCGGGTTGCTGTATGTTGCTGTTGTTTTTGTTCAGGGTTCCATGGGCCTAAAAAAATCAAGAAGATCTATAGCAGATCAGCCTGATAAACCGCTGTATGAATTTTTACCACTCTGCATCTTTTTGGATTTCCCCAGCACGACTTCACCTGGCCACTCCAAGGTGTTGGGATCCTTTGGTCCCAACGTCGCCTCTTGACCCTCAAAGAGTCGTCGTAGCAGCGACTCGGAGTCTTCGGTCTTGCCCAAAGAGTCCAGCAGAGACAGCAGATTGCGCACCTGAGATGTGGAAATCCATCGCTATCACAGGTATATACTGATGTATATATTGTAATTATCAAAGCACAGGTTATAGTATATTATGATATATTATAGCTAGTGCTACCACTAGTTGAAGAATACCCTGGCTACCCTGGCTAGTTTATTGGAAATTATGACCCGCAGTAGGGAAACCTATCAGCCAACTAGTTTTCATCAGATGGGATAGGGCTATGTTGAATTGCTCATCTTGCGAGATTTTTCAAGACATGGGAAAAGAAGAAGCTGTGAATGGAAGAATCATGTGGTAAACCGTAAACCCAACAAACATGGGATATGGCGGTAGGATTTATAAAGGATAATCGTGGGATAATAATGGATTATGGGATCACATGGGATAACTATACAGTAACAAACCATCCCCAATAGATTCAATAGAGGTTGATGAAATTGGATACACCCAATTTCAACTGGGATGATGTAAAATGAACTCCAAACGCTTGGTAAATGGTTCATTATTGGGCGTACGCACTAATCATAATTAATCATGATACATGCCCTTTTTGAGTCGATAATCCCATTTGGGTTTGACTGAAAATTTGGAGAAAAAACATCCCCAAATCCCATTGTTTTGAAAACCGCCTTTTCCCAATGATTTCAATTGGCATTTTAAAGAATCCCCCGTTGGACAAACAAAAAATGCACCAGTGAACCGCTCTGGTTCCAGTGGCTTTTCGGTGCAGAGTCACAGCTTATTGGATGTCGTTGTGATTTCTTGAGGAAAAACGTCTAGTTTCATGGTGTAACCCTCTATACAATGATAATGATTTATCAATGATAACGTCATGATATGTCACCATGATAATGCGTAAAACATCATAAACCCATATGCCAAACAAACGCAGGTATGTAGGAAAATCATGGAACGCTTCATGGAGGATGTAGCAAACCCTAGCTGATTAGTCCTGAAATTGCCTACGAGTACGGGAACGCTGTTCCAGGACCTAGTCCAAATGGGCTACAAAAATTCGGAACATCTACATGTCAATCCTCATCTTTGATGGGTAATCCACATCTATGATGCACATTTACTCCCAAAATGTCGCCATTTTAATCGGTAACGCTTTGGACAATGAGATTCAACTGTTGGGACACCTATGTGACCAAAATTGCATCGAATCCATCAGACCTATCCATAGTTGTCATTAAAGTCACATCGATGACTGCAAATATCCAAATTCCCAAATGTTGGGATATCATATGTTCATGTGGTAAAGCCGAGGCCATCAACCTTCCCAGTAACCGTCCAACATTAAATCATCCCAAATAAAATGCTTAATTCATAAAGCTCTATTGGGGATGGTTTATTGATGTTTATTGTAGATCCCATATTTCTCCCTTATCAGATTGTCATCCCATTATATTATCCTTTACTAATCCGTATTCTCCTATATACGTAGAATCCCATGTTGGCCCATGGTTTACCACGTTAATCATCTTACTCTCTAGTAAACTAACAGTTTGCTATGGAAAATAATCGTTTTTAATAGGAAAATCAGCGAAATAAAAGGACCACTTTCAAGTTCGCAAACTGTTAGTCATTACCAGAGGGTCAATCCGTAAATCCGATTAACATCATGAAATCACCACTAAATCACCATCAATTGGTGAATTTTTGATCCCAGTCACAGCTTCCAGCGTTTCCACATGCCTTGGCCCCAGGGCGGCTTCACGTGCTTGCAGGGCCGAACGCAGTAAGGGCTCAGCATCCTGCAGTTTCCCTTGGTCCTCGACAAAAGGCGTTGGATTTTTGGGGCTCTGTATAGTATAGTCTATCTTTCTATCTTTCTATACATGTATATATGATTATATAATATAAATATACGATGATTTATATGTGTATATACGTAGTATTATTAGTAGTGGTAGTGGTGGTGGTAGTAGTAGTAGTAGTAGCAGTAGTAGTAGTAGTAGCAGTAGCAGTAGCAGTAGCAGCAGCAGCAGCAGGAGCAGTGGCAGTGGCAGTGGCAGTGGCAGTGGCAGTGGCAGTGGCAGTGGCAGTGGCAGTGGCAGTGGCAGTGGCAGTGGCAGTAGCAGTAGCAGTAGCAGTAGCAGTAGCAGTATCAGTTAGCAGTAAGCAGTAGTAGTAGTAGTAGTAGTAGTAGTAGTAGCAGTGGCAGTGGCAGGGGCAGTGGCAGTGCAGGCAGTGGCAGTGGCAGTGGCAGGTGGCGTGGCAGTAAGCGTAGCAGTAGCAGTGCAGCATCAGCAGTAGCAGTAGCAGTAGCAGTGGCAGTGGCAGTGGCAGTGGCAGTGGCAGTGGCAGTGGCAGTAGCAGTAGCAGTAGCAGTAGGAGTAGTAGTAGTAGCAGTAGCAGTCGCAGTGGCAGTGGCAGTGGCAGTGGCAGTGGCAGTGGCAGTGGCAGTAGCAGTAGCAGTAGCAGCAGCAGTAGCAGTAGCAGCAGCAGTAGCAGTAGCAGTGGCAGTGGCAGTGGCAGTGGCAGTGGCAGTAGCAGTAGCAGTAGCAGTAGTAGCAGTAGCAGTAGCAGTAGCAGTAGCAGTAGCAGTAGGAGTAGTGGTAGTGGTAGTGGTAGTGGTAGTGGTAGTGGTAGTGGTAGTGGTAGTGGTAGTGGTAGTGGTAGTGGTAGTAGTAATAGTAGTAGTAGTAGTAGTAGCAGTAGCAGTAGCAGTAGCAGTAGCAGTAGCGGTAGTGGTAGTGGTAGTAGTAGTAGTAGTAGTAGTAGGTCTAGCAAAACTGGAGATCTTTATGGATTTGACCTGCCAAAATGGGATTTCGCCCAACTTGTTGGGGGTTTAGCCCTAAAGGAATGGGATATGAATACAGCCAAGGGTGACATTTCGTGGGATATGCAGCCAAAAAGCTGAGATATTGAACGGATTTATCCAGCAATAGATCTGGAGATCATGTTTATTGCGATCGAACCAACAAACATGGGGATATTGGGGTGCATCTGTAAAAAACAATATATTCAATAATGTGGGGATTAACATGGATTAACTAGGTTTTTCTGGGGATTATCATAAACATCAAGAACAAGTTGGTTTGCAGACATGACAAAAACGTGTGGAATCACCTATAACATAAAGATGGGGAATGATCCGACAAGAATATCGGGGATTAAGTGACAAAATTAGGGACCGAAAAGTAAGTGTGATTTACAGTAACAAAGAGGATTGGGTGCTTGACCAACAGAAATTGTTTTTTCCCATCAAAATAGGAGTTTCGCGAGATGAGACAGATACATTGGTTTATGACAACAATAACTGTTTCAGCAAAATAATCAAAATACATCGTTGCTACATGTTGCTACTAGGAAGGGACCCGGTCTTCTGGGCTGCCATGGGCCTCTTGAAACCGATTCTTCTTTGATCTTCTGAACTACGCCGTGGGAGAGTCAGGGCCTAAATGCTCCTCTATGATCTTTGCTCACCACATATTTCTTGTCTCTTTGGCTATGCCTTTATTATTTTTCTCGCGGCTGAACTTTCTGTGACCATCACCCCAGTCCCAGGCTCCTGGAGTTGTCGAGCCAAACGCTCTCGCAACCTGCCATGTTTTTTTACCAAATAGAGGAATCAACTTTGGTGCAGAGTCTCCAAAAAAAAATGGTCAAGGGCTAAGTCCCCAGGAGGTCGAAAGTCTATGAAAACTCCAGGGAACCCCTTTTTCCATCCCACTTGACAAAGAATTTCAGCCTCATAGCCATGAAAGAATCCAGTACCATGCCCCGGTGCCTGAAAGTTTGAGGATGATTGGGGCCAAACTTGGTTTCACGCTGTTTCAGCAACTGCCAAAAGAGTGGCTCCGCCTCACCTGGTTCCGCTGGCTGAGCTTCACAAGGTCTAAGGTACCAAGGCAAAAAATTGCAAAAACATATCAAGTCAACCTCCCGGATCCAGAGTTTTCAAGGTTAACCTTGAAACCAACGAGTCTGTGGACACCTGGACCTTGCGCCCTCGCACGCCCTCGCACATTGTAACAACCCCATGGCCATGATCAATTTGGGCTGAGCAACTGAAATCACCTTTGGCTTCGAACATGAAAGCCAATCCATTCACTGAGACCAAGGACATCTCGCTTTCATCATCTTTCTCCTTCGACCCCAAGTGACCCAGCTTGGGGGCCACCATGGGAGTGTTATTCCACCAAAACTCGGCAATTTCCTGTTTTTTTTGCCTAACATTTTTTGTGCAAACTTGTGTGGTCGGTGATATCCCTCCAATTGTGGTCCTTATTTGAAGATATGTGGTATCCACAAGTCTAGTGGTGGTTACTTCCCCCCCAGGTTCCTTGGTCAAAACTGGGTGGCACCGACAAAAAGCTGGGGATGGGACAGAAGTGAAGGCCCGGAAAACAGACTCTGCACATTTTGGGGTCGCACAAACACTTTGACCCCGTGCCCAGAACCTGTGATCATCATTGTTGATCAGCCATGATCAGCTTATATAAATCCGCCGACCCCGCTTGCAGCAGGGGGACTGCGTCAGAGGAGAAATTACCAGCGGCAAGGGGCAAGATTTGATTACAAGCAGCAAGGAACAAGAAGCACGAAGTGAGGAATACAAGCAGTTAGGCACTCTGGGCGGCCCCGTTCCCGATCCGTGCTTCAATTGAAGCCTCCAAGTCTTCCAATTACTCTTGTTAGTATTACATAGATTTCGATGTATTCACATATGTATACATAGTATACACACATATATATATATATATACACAATATAAATAAATAAAAATAAATAAATAAATACAAAAATAAATAAATAAATAAAGAAATAAATAAATAAATAAATATATATATATATATATTTGGATAGATCAAGTCCGTCCGGGGCGCCCCAGACGGTTGCACCCCACGCCACGACAACGTCTGGGACGGGCTTTTCGTCCTCCCAGACCCGCAGGCCAGGGAGGTTCGCCCGGAGCTCTCCATCCTTGGACACAGCGAATGAACAAAATAAACGAACATGTTGAACTTTGATTTTGGCTTTATTTTTTTGATGCGCTTTTTCGCAAATTCCCAACAGCAGGGCCTGTTGGGTTTCAATCTCTAGGGCTGGGGCTGGCTTGCGGGGACTTGCAGCCTTCAAAATCCGGAATGGAACCTGGAACCCTGGAACCCTGGAACCCTGAAACCTTGGAACCCCGGAACCCTGGAACCCTGGAACCCTGGAACCCTGAAACCTTGGAACCCCGGAACCCTGGAACCCTGGAACCCCGGAACCCTGGAACCCTGAAACCCTGGAACCTTGGAACCCTGCGACCGTGGAACCCTGAAACCTTGGAACCTTGGCACCCTGGAACCCACCTGGAACCCTGGAACCTTGGAACCCTGGAACCCCTTGGAACCCTGAAACCCTGGAACCCTTGGAACCCTTGGAACCCTTGGAACCCTGGAAACCTTGGAACCCTGGTGGGACCCTGGTACCCTGGAACCCTGGAACCCTGAAACCTTGGAACCCCTGGAACCCTGGAACCCTGGAACCCTGGAACCCCGGAACCCTGGAACCCTGAAACCCTGGAACCTTGGAACCCTGCGACCGTGGAACCCTGAAACCTTGGAACCTTGGCACCCTGGAACCCTCAAGGATTCTGGAACCCTGCAACCTTGGAACCCTGGAACCTTGGAACCCTGCAACCCTGCACACCTGGCACCCTGCTGGGATCCTGGAACCCTGAAACCCTGGAACCATTGGAACCCTTGGAACCCTTGGAGCCCTTGGAACCCTGGAAACCTTGGAACCCTGAAACCGTGGGACCCTGGGACCCTGGTACCCTGGAACCCTGGAACCCCGAAACCTTGGAACCCCGGAACCCTGGAACCCTGGAACCCTGGAACCCCGGAACCCTGGAACCCTGAAACCCTGGAACCTTGGAACCCTGCGACCGTGGAACCCTGAAACCTTGCGCGCGCTGCGTGCCATAGAGTGCTCCTCAAAAGTGATTACATGTCATACTTTAGTGGCATCCTCCAAATTCATTAGTCAGCCTTTGTTAATCCAGGGCCCATTTTACACATGTCATCTTCTTGGTCGTGGCGCCATTTCAGGATCACACTGATGACCTAAGCTTTGGCCTTAACTATTATGCAGGCAAGCGACATCAGCACGCTATGGTATTGGAAGACACAGGGTTTGCCCGTAGACCAGCCAAAAAATCGATTTTCCACACTGAACAATTGGATTTAACACATTTAGAATAGGAGCTCCGCCTGATTCAGATTTCATCACTTAAAAGGTACCCATGCCTGACTAGCCTTCATGACTTAAAGCGTAACCACACCCGACTTAAGGGAACCATGCCTGACTAGCCTTCATAATTAAGAGGTACCCACCCACGCCTGACTTAACAGAACCCATGCCTGACTAGCCTTCATAATTAAAAGGTACCCATGCCCCTGAATTCAGGGAACCATGCCTGACTAGCCTTCACAATTAAAAGGTACCCACTGGAACCATGCCTGACTAGCCTTAATGACTTAAAAGGTAACTACACCTGACTTAATACCTGATTTACTGGTTTTGCCTGATTTTGGAAAAACGCAAGGCCGGAATTTGCAGGGCGCGGGCCGGAATTTGCCGGGCCCGGGCCGGAATTTGCCGGGCTGGGATTTTGGGGTCGTGCCTAAATAGGATTTTTGCAAAAATCGTGCATGACTGAAGGGAACCATGCCTGACTAAACATCATACCAATCATCCCAAAAGAATCCAATAATTCCAGCAAGTGATGCCTGACCAATCCCTGCGTCATAATAAACCGTCTGCCCCTCCCCACCCAATAATGAACACACGGAATATTTTTTGTATTTAGTGGGTATTTAGTATGAGGGTGCGAAACTTCCCCCTTGGTTAAAAAAACTAAATTGGAAAACATTTTTTAAATAACATCTAACTAAAATATTGCCAAAATTGGATTCCGAAGCTTCCCCCTGACATTAAATTGAAAACATTCGTTTTAAAAAATGAACTTTATATTTCAAAACCGATTGAATTCCTATTCAAAATCTAACTCAAATCTTGCCAAATTGGATTTCGAAGCTTCCCCTTATATTAAATTGAAAACCTTACTAATCCCCACCTCCTTTTACTAAACGTACCCTAAATACTAAAATATTACATTGATTCCTTTTACTAGGGTCCGCGTTAAATTTTGGGAAATTTCAGGCTGGCCAGTTTGACTTTTAATTGATACCTTTTCAAAAACAAATTAAACATGAAGGTCCCATTTCAGGATTTCACCACCAAAAAATAAAAACTAGTCAGCCCCGGTGATTTTTTAAACTAGGGTCTTTTAAGGTCGAAAAAATAAGTATTTTATATTACAACGTTTATATAATATTGGGGGAAAACTTCGAAATCCACTTTTTGGCATTTCCTGGCAATATTTTTGCTGGATGTCAAAAGGAAATCTAATCGATTCTTGAAATCGAAAAAACATAGTTTTTTTTATTAGTGTTTTTAATTTAATCTTAGGGGAAAACTTCGAAATCCAATTTTTAGCAATATCTTAATTATATGTTAAACAGAAAACTAATCGATTTTGAAACAGTTTTTTTTAAAATATATTAGGGCTGGTAATTTAATATTAGAGGAAACATTTCGAAATCCGGTTTTTGTTTTTATTTTTGTTACTACAATTTAAAAGGAAATCGAATCGATTTCAAAAAAGAAAAAATAATATTTTATATTAGGGTTTTTTAATGTAATATTAGGGGAAAACTTCAAAATCCAATTTTTGACCATATTCTAATTAGATTTCAAAAGGAAATCTAATGAATTTTGATATAGAAAAAATAGTCTTTGATATGAGGGTTTAATATGAGGGGAAAGCTTCGAAATCCAATTTCTGGCAATATCTTAATTTGAATTTACAAGGAAATCTAATCGATTCTGAAATAGAACAAATTTAGTTTTTTATATTGGAATTTTTCATGCAAGATTAGGGGAAGCATCGAAATCCAATTTTTGAACATATTTTAATAATTGGATTTTAATTTGATATTAGGGGAAAGCTTCAAAATCATTTTTTTGTTTTTTTCATTAGATTTCAAAAGGAAATCTAATCGATTTTGAAACAGGAAAAAAACAAAATGATATTAGGGTTTAATAAAAGGGAAAAGCTTCGACATCCAATTTTTTGGCCATATTTTATTTAATTTTTAAAAGGAAATCTAATCGATTTCGAAATAGAAAAACATACATAGTTTTTTATGTTGGGGGTTTTTATTTGATATTAAGCTTCGGAATCCACTTGTTTGCCATATTTTAATTGGATTTAAAAAGAAAGAAATCTGATCGATTTTGAAATAGAAATATGTGTGTATATATATATATGTGTGTGTGTTTTTATCAGTATTAGGGGGAAGCTTCGTACCCTAATACTAAAGACCCCCCCAATACTAAAAACTCCTCCAGGTGTTTGTTATTTGGGTGGGTGGGTGAAGGGGCGACTGTTTAGCAACAGGGGGAAGGGATTAAACCGTTTTTTGTTTCTAATTTCAAAATCCATGAAAATAATCTTTAAATAGAATACTGCCAAGAATAGGATTTCGAAGCTTTCGCCTAGTATCAAATAAAACACCAACACCTGAATTAAAAAAACTAAAATTGACGATTTTAAAGGACGGACCCCAATAAAAGACACCCCGGTGTTGACTAGTTTTTTATTCTTTGGGGGTGAAACCCTCACATGGTACCTTCATTTTTAAAATTGTTTCCTCAAGGGGATCAATTAAAAATCAGATTAACCAATTTGACATTTCCCAAAATTGGAAATCGCACCTAGTTTTTGTCATTTGGGGGTATTTTTCGTAATAGGGAGAAAGGATTAGCAAAAAGAATGCCTGATCAAAATGATGCTGATTCTGTGTGTTACAATCTTTTTGCCCACTACAGTGTCTACAGGGTTACAAGGGATGCCGTGCCAGCTAGAGTCCCAAGTCCATTCAACCAACACCCTAATCGATGAAGTTGGACTTGTTGAAAAGGAAGTGGGACTGGACCAGTTGACATGGGGCGATGCTGACCTTCAACGGGAGCTTCGGCGCCTGAAGGACAACAGTTTGAAAATTCCGAACCTGAAATATATTTTCAAAATTG